AGTACATATGTGTGTCCCAAAGAGAACATTCTCCTGCAGCCACGAATGCACTCATGGGACACGTGTCATCCCGAGTATGTGTGTGTGTCCCACAGAGAGCATTATCCTATAGCCCACAGATATGCTCACAGGACACAGGTGTCATCTCTAGTACATGTATGTGTCTCACAGAGAACATTCTCCTCTCCTACAGCCCACAGATGCGCTCACAGGACACGCATGTCACTCCGAGTGTGTGTTGTGTCCCGCAGAGAACATTCTCCTCTCTTACAACCCACGGATGCACTCACACGACACGTGTGTCACCCCAAGTATGTGTGTGTATCCCACAGAGAACATTCTCCTCTCCTACAGCCATGGATGCGCTCATGGGACACGCAGGTCACCCCGAGTATGTGTGTGTGTCCTGCAGAGAACATTCTCCTGCAGTCATGGATGTGCCCACAGGACACGTGTCACCCCAGTACATGTGTGTGTCCTGCGAGGGCTGAGTTTCCACTTTCCCTTCCGGCTCTTTGCTGCAGTTGCTGGAGGTCAGGAAACATAGGGGTGGAAGGAAGAGACCAGACACCTCCCAGCATGCATTGAACAGAAAGGGGATAGGAGGCCACATGCTTTGTCTTGGGGGGTTTTGAGAGCAAGGCCTTTCACCACAGAGCATGGTGGTGACCAAGGGATTACTGAATCATGTTGTTTTCCCTATATTTAAACGGCACACCGGACACTAACTTTTCAAATGCAGATGTTGCTAACTGAGTGAGGAAGTCTGTTTCTCCCCATCTCTTTTATCACATGCCACCTGACTTCTATATTAGATTTGTCGGCTTTAGCCTGGAATTGTTTAGATAAGAATGTGGATATTAGCTGTAGAGAATCTGCTGCAGCTTTAGAAAACGGCAGAGAGAAGCCAGTATGATTTCACGTGGGTGCAGGTGGTCACAGTGCTGAGCTGATGCGAGTTCACAGGGTGCAGGTGTGGACAGTGCTCAGCTAATGTGAATTCACGCGGGTGCAGGTAAGGACAGTGCTGAACTAATGTGAGTTCACGAGGTTGCAGGTGAGGACAGTGCTGAGCTGATGTGAGTTCATGTGGGTGCAGGTGAGGACAGTGCTGAGCTAATGTGAGTTCATGCGGGTGCTGGTGAGGACAGTGCTGAGCTAATGTGAGTTCATGCAGGTGCAGGTGGGGACAGTGCTGGACCAATATGAGTTCACGGGGTGCGGGTGCTGTTGGGGACAGTGCTGAGCTAATGTGAGTTCATGCAGGTGCAGGTGGGGACAGTGCTGGACCAATATGAGTTCACGGGGTGCAAGTGCAGCTAGGGACACTGCTGAGCTAATGTGAGTTCATGCGGGTGCAGGTGAGGACAGTGCTGAGCTACTGTGAATTCACATGGGTGCAGGTGAGGACAGTGCTCAGCTGATGTGAGTTCACGTGGGTGCGGGAGGGGACAGCGCTGAGCTAATGTGAGTTCATGCAGGTGCAGGTGGGGACAGTGCTGGACTAATGTGAGTTCACGGGGTGCAGGTGCAGGTGGGGACAGTGCTGAGCTGTGAATTCACGTGGGTGCAGGTGAGGACAGTGCTGAGCTGTGAAATCCCGTGGGTGCAGGCGAGGACAGTGCTCAGCTGATGTGAGTTCACGCGGGTAGAGGTGAGGACAGTGCTCAATTGATGTGAGTTCACGCGGGTGCAGGAGGGGACAGTGCTGAGCTAATGTGAGTTCACGTGGGTGCAGGAGGGGACAGTGCTGAGCTAATGTGAGTTCACGTGGGTGCAGGTGGGAACAGTGCTGAGCTAATGTGAGTTCATGGGGGTGCAGGAGGAGACAGTGCTGAGCTAATGTGAGTTCACGCGGGTGCAGGGGGGGACAGTGCTGAGCTAATATGAGTTCATGTGGGTGCAGGTGAGGACAGTGTTGAGCTAATATGAGTTCACATGGGTGCAGGTGAGGACAGTGCTGAGCTAATGTGAATTCACTTGGGTGCAGGTAAGGACAGTGCTCAGCTAATGTGAGTTCATGCGGGTGCAGGTGGGGACAGTGCTGAGCTAATGTGAGTTCACGTGGGTGCAGATGGGGACAGTGCTGGGCTGATGTGAGTTCACGCGGGTGCAGGTGAGGACAGTGCTGAGCTGATGTGATTTCACGGGGTGCAGGTGCAGGTATGCTGGGGACAGTTCCCTGTCTGGGCTGTTTTGGTTTTCATCTGTGCTCCAGCTTCACAGGCCAGTGCTGCTCCCAAGCTGGAGAAGGGCTGCCGTGGTTGAATCTGTCACACTGTCTGACTGGCTTGGATGCCCAGTGCATCATGCCAAGGAGAAGCCAGGCCCGTTTGCTGCCCTTGCTGAAGCCAGTGTGTGCTGGTCACAGCCCAAGTCCTCCGTCCTGCTTCTAGCTCCTGGTGTTCTGGAAACTACACGCTGTCATGTGACCATGTCTGTAATGTAGGTGGACTTCAAATTTTTGAAAATTAAAGGTACTTTGCCAGGTTTTAAAAAGCCTTTTTCCTTTTGTGTTCAATAGTTTATCAGGTAATCAAGTAAACAAACATGCCTCCTCCACTAAAATAAACAATTGACAGGCAACTCCATGTTCTACAGAGAATTACCTTAAAAACGTTAGCAGCTGACTCATTGAGTACCCTGTGTGGGTTTGGGTCTGTTTGCTGTGCGCCTGAAGGTGCTGGGATGTGTTTGACTGTATTTGCCTGGAAGCTCCGTGGGACTCACTCAGGAGGGGCTCCTGCCCCAAGGCTGGTGGGCAGGATTGGTTAATAGTGAGTGCCAGCTTGATTGAAGGAGGTGAAGTATTGTTCCTGGTATGTCCGTGAGAGTGCTGCCAGGAGATTTACGTTCGAGTCAGCGTACTAGAAGGGGCAGACCCACCCTCAATCCAGGGTGGCCGGGATACAACGTGAAGGACTGGGCTGGCCGAGTCCTCTGTGTTTCCCCCTCGCTGGACGCTTCCTGCCCTCAAATGTCGGACTCCAGGTTCTTCAGCTTTTGGACTCTTGGACTCACACTAGTGAGTCAGGGGCTCTCGGGCCTTGGGCCACAGACTGAAGGCTGCGTAGTCCGCTTCCCTACTTTTGAGATTTTGAGACTCGGACCAGCTTTCTTGCTCCTCAGCTTGCAGACGGCCATTGTGGGACTTTACCTCGTGATTGTGTGAGTTAATTCTCCCAACAAGCTCCCTCCATAGATGCATCTGTCCTGTGAGTCCTGTCCCTCCAGGGGACCCTGAGCACCGCAGTGGGGAGTGCAGATGCCACGAAGCCAGCTCTGCTCTCCACACACTCCACTCCCTTCCCGTCTGCTACATTATCCTCTCCTTTTCATTCCTAGGGCAAAAATTACGGCTTATGTTTTAGACCAAGGCCTGGAGTGGTTTCAGCTGGTCAGGGGCAGGACCATGTAATTTCATAGGTGACTGATCCCAAAAAGGCTGACTAGAACCCACTGCAAAGCAGAGGATGCCCTTGATTTCTGAGGCAGGAGGCCCCTCGGAACTGGAAGCTGCAAATCGGCAAAGCTCTGCCTATGTAGATGCCTCTACCCCTACTTCCCCCTCCCTGTATAGATGCCTCACCCCCACTTCCCCGCCTCTGTGTAGATGCCCCACCCCTATGTCCCCCCTCCCTATGCAGATGCCCCACCCCCATTACCCCCTCTGTGTAGATGCCCCACCCCTACTTCCCCACTCCCTGTGTAGATACCCCATCCCTACTATCCCCCTCTCTGTGTAGACACCCCACCCCTACTTCCCCGCTACCTGTGTAGACACCCCACCCCTATTTCCCCCCTCTCTCTGTAGATGCCCCACCCCTTCTTCTGCCCTCTGCAAGATGAGCTGTTTCTTTCTTCACCCTGATGTTTGCAAAGGGTTTTCCTGAACAGAGGAAAAGCGGAACAGAGCCCTGGAGAGGGAGGGCCTGAGTCCTGCAGCTTGCACGCTTTCCAGAGGCGCCTGGGGTCAGGCCATTTTGCTCGGCACCATCACCACTGTTCTTGGTGGTCTGAGGCTCCTGTATGCCACGGGCCTCGGGGCTTCCTTAAGGCACTTATGCCCCAAAGAGTAGGAGCTTTTAAGATGTTTTTGTTGCCGGGCGCGGTGGCTCAAACCTGTAATCCCAGCACTTTTGGAGGCCGAGGCGGGTGGATCACGAGGTCAACAAATCGAGACCATCCTGGTCAACATGGTGAAACCCCGTCTCAACTAAAAATACAAAAAATTAGCTGGGCATGGTGGCACGTGCCTGTAATCCCAGCTACTCAGGAGGCAGAGGCAGGAGAATTGCCTGAACCCAGGAAGCGGAGGTTGCGGTGAGCCGACATTGCGCCATTGCACTCCAGCCTGGGTAACAAGAGGGAAACTCCGTCTCAAAAAAAAAAAAAAAAAGATGTTTTTGTTGAGGTAGAGCGAGTTCATGTAAAGGCTTCGCAAAGGGGAGCGACCTGGGTGTTGGTTCAGTGGCTCCTCCAGAGCGCTGGTTCCGAAACACGCTGACCAAGGAGTAAGCTGGAACACACAGATTTCTGGGCCCACCTCAGAGATGCACACTCCTCATCTCACGGGCCCTCCGCAGAGACGCACACCCACATCTCACGGGCCCTCCGCAGAGACGCACAGTCACATCTCACGGGCCCACCGCAGAGATGCACACTCACATCTCACGTTGGTGCATTGGTGCTTCTTGACTGAATGGCCTGTTCAAGGCTCTTGCCTGCTTTGCTATTGTATTGTCTATCATTTTCTGATTTATTTGTAGGAATTGCTTTATATGAGTTTGAGATATGTTCCTGGGGCTGGGCACAGTGGTTCACACCTGTAATCCCAACTTTTTGGGAGGCTGAGGTGAAAGGATCACTTGAGGCCAGGAGATTGAGGTTGCAGTGAGCTGTGATCGAGAGAGTGCACCCCAGCCTGGGCGATAAAGCGAACCCTATTAGTCAACCAATCAATATGAACAGACAAACGAGAAGTGTGTTCTTCCCTGCAGGATGACGTGATGATGCCCCAGCGGGTGAGGCTACAACACGAGGCTGCCGTCCAGCACCCATCGAGCGTGAGTACCGGTCTCCTCTTCAGTACTGTTACTACCTTTAGTTGAAATCCCACTGTGGCTCCTTAAATAAACAGTTTTCCTTGGGGAGAAAAGAGTCAGTTTATGGTAAGACTGCCAAATCACAGTGAGGGGACTGCAGCTGGCACATCTCTAAACACTTGAGGGAGTTTTTCTTTGAAAAAAAACATGCTCCTAATTTTGAATAGCACTTGTTCCTTTCAAATGGGTGCAAAGGGGTTTTTGTTGTTTTTAAACAGCATTTTAGAAGCTGAGTACCTCAGACATGTAAACACAGGTTCAGAGCGATACTGTGGTAGCAGGTAAACATTTTTATTTAGACGATCTTAAATTATGTTTTTTGTTTTTTTGAGACAGAGTTTCACTCCGTCACCAGGCACCAGGCTGGAGTGCAGTGATGCGATCTCAGCTCACTGCAACCTCTGCCTCCCGGGTTCCAGCAATTCTCCTGCCTCAGCCTCCAGAGTAGCTGGGACTACAGGCGTGCATCACCACCCCCAGCTAATTTTTTTGTAGTTTTAGTAGAGATGGGGTTTTACCATGTTGGCTGGGATGGTCTTGATCTCTTGACCTCGTTCTGCCACCTCGGTCTCCCAAAGTGCTGGGATTACAGGCATGGGCCACCGCACCCAGCCAGATTATGGTTTTTATCTTTAGGGCAGCTTCTTGGTTGCCCCCTCCAAAGCCAGGCTTCCTCAGGCCCCTCCTGAGCTGAGCACAGCAGCGTCCGTGGGCGCCTCTGCCCGGCGGGTGGAAGCACCATCCCCCACTGCAGGTGGTGGGGCACATGGCCAGGGGTCCCTGGAGCGGGCGTCCGGCCACCGCGAGGCCCCTGCTGGCTTCACGGAAGGTGACTCTGTCTTCAGAGATCTCACTGAAGTTTCAGAAGACTTTAAATCACGATGGTGATCACTTGGTTATTAACACTGAGGGATCTGTAACTGTCCAGCACCCACGGCATCTGTCCCCAGGGGCAGCTGCTGCTCCCCCCAGACAGGCCCCTCTGCCCTCTACTGCAGGGCAGAGTGTCATGGACATGTGTGCGGTTGGGTCGCCACACGTTTCAGTCACGGCGGGCTCTGCTCTCATTGGTCAGGTCACAGATGGGCCAGTCACCGCAGGCTCTGCTCTCATCAGTCAGGTTGCAGACGGGCCAGTCACCACAGGCTCCAATCACGCAGGCTCTGGTCACCCAGGCTCTGCTCTAATTGGTCAGGTCCCACACAGGCCGGTCACAGTGGGGTCTGTCCCACGTGGTGCTGGGAGCCCGGCTTCCCACAGAGCAGGTGCTCGTGACAGTTCACCCTGTGAGTTTCCCAACAGAAATGGCTCATGAGATGCAGTCATGGGGTAAAGTTTCTCCAACAGTGAAGGATTTTGTTCGTCCAGGGTAAGTCATTTTCCTTCCAATCAGCTTTACTCAGGGTGCTCTGAATTGAGCCACCTACTTTCTGCTCTTAGGAAGTTTAGCACCACGTACCCACCGCATACTTCCTTCTCTGCTTCCCAGCCCCCAGCTGCGAGAATCTCCTGGGACTCACCCCCCACACCTGCCCATGCCTGCCTCCTCCTGAGGGGTCGTGCAGGTCTTCCTTTCCATGGGTGAGGTGCTGTTTCCCGGCTTGAGCTTGATACTGAGGATTCTTATTACCTGAAATCTAATTGTTGGGCAGGGGAGCTTGGGGTGGGGGAAGGTTGTTGGGGTGTCAGGGGTGGGGACAAGGGCAGGACTAGGGGCATCTGAAGGGGAGGGTGTGGGTGCTAGGGGAACTGGATTGGGAGGGAGCAAGGGATGTGGGGGCATGGGGGGCAGCATTGACGGGGAGGGGGTTGGGATGGGGCAGGGGTGGGGGGTGTGGGGAGTGCCGGCTTGTGTGTGGGTGGTACCTAGGAGGGGCGGTGTGGGCGGTGCCGGGAAGGGTGGGCAGCGCGGGGGGGGGGGGGGGGGGGGGATGTGGATGGTGCATGGGGCCGGGGGGGGGGGGGGGGGGGGGGGGCAGCTGCCCGGAGGTTTGTGTCTCTCGTGTGCAGAGGCAGGCGGGGAGACAGACTGAGACACAGGCCACCTTCTCGGGAGCAGAGGGACCCACATGGTCTGCTCCTTTGCGGGTGTGTAGGGTCCCGGGGTCAGTGGCCCCAGCGTGGTGGCAGGACCTTCCGTGGGGGCATGTTTTCCATGAGGGCAAGAGAGAGCTCTGTGGCTTGCACCAGATGCTTAAAAGGGTCACACGTTGGCCACGTTTAGGAACCACAAATATGGCCAAAATACGTTTCTCCGCAAGTGTGTGTGTGTGAGAGAGAGAGACAGAGAGACACTTCACATATCTGTGGCACCCATAAGTCGGTTTCTGGAAGTTTGCAGGCGCGGCTTCTTGGGAGACGCGTCCGGCAGTGTCTGCGTGTAGGGCGGGCGCGTGCTCCGCGGAGGCTCCGGGCACCGCCGCTCCTCCAGGGGACCCTGGGATTCAGGGACAAGGGCTGGTTTCCACCCCAGCCGCAGGTGCTGTGGGGCTCCTCGCACCCGTGACGAGACAGAGGGATCAGACTGCTTTGCGGTCTGGTGTCTTTGCTGGGAAGAGGGAAGACGGGGCGGGGCGGGGGGGGGGTCCTTCGGGATGGACTCCTGTGGTCAGTGCGTGAAGCAAAATGCAGACGCGCGTTTCCAGGATGGCCTCGCGCTGGCGCCTAGCGGTGTGACGATGCTCCCGGCGCTCCCTCTGCTTCCCGCTCCTGCGACTGTGGGGTCCTGCGGGCCGAAAGGTGGGGCGGCCCTGTCGGAGGGGTGGGGCGGGGAAACCCCGCGTCTGTGCGGCTGGATGAGCCGCCGTCCGCGACCCAAGTGCCGCATCTGTCGCTCGGAGCCGTTTTTACACAGCTAGAAATGAGAGTTGCCACGTATTTAGAACGGATTATACAGACGTCTAGAGAATTCTGTAATGACTGTTGACATTTAGTGGAGGAGATACTTTGAGCTATGTTTCATTTCCATCCCAGAAAAAAAACCCAGGTTGGCTTCATTAATGAAATTGCTTTTGGCAATTCTTCATGGCATGGGTTCAAGTAAGCTGGGATCCTTAGGGTTACACAGGAAGTTGGTGGAAATGCACATGGTCAGATCGTTTCCATTGTAATAAGGCAACTTGATTTGCATTTTCATCAATGATTTTAAGCATTTTTCTTGCTGCTTTTCTCACGGCCGTGGCTGACGCTCTGTTGTGCACTTGGAAGAGAAGCTTCTGCCCTAATCAAGCCTCCTCTTCTCCAGATGGCATGGTGAGGTGAAGCCTCCACGCTGAAGCTCTTCGGCAGGAAACAGCAATGTCATCATAGTTCTGTTGCACTAAAACAAAGTCAGCTTTAGAAAGGCTGGTATCGTGTGGCTGGATTTTTTTAAAATCATGACCTGCAAAAATCTTAATTTGCAGTTGCTGGTTAGCGGTTATGTCAATTACGTTGTATAGTTTGTCCTGAGAGGATGAAATGAATGCTGAATGCATACTTGTACTTTATGGTAGTTTTTTTAAGGTTCTATACAGGAAACCATCTAATTAGGAAGCATCCTTGATGACAGTTTTCGTAAGTTCTGCGTTTGCATGTAAATAACCACTGTAGAACTTAAGGAATCCTGCCTGTGGGGGGTGTCACAACAAAAGGGAATGTCTTAGTGCGCCGGAAACTCGCTCCTGCACCTGAGGGCCAGTCAGGCCTGTCCTTCCTCCCGCTTCCATCCCAGCAGCTCACTGGGTCCCTGAAGCTATGCACCCGGTGGTTTCCCATCTCCGTGTCTGTGCTCAGGAGACCCCAGAGAGGAAAGCCTCCATTCTTGGTCACCTCTAGGCCACCCTAGACCAAACACAGAGGCTGGCCTGGCTCTGCCCAGCTCCTCTCCAGAACTAATGTCTGTTCCAAATGTTCAAGACCAGCCTCAGCACAACCCCTGCATCCTCATCCTCCGGGGAGGGCAGGTGCTCCACCTTACGGTAGGGAGTCACCCACCTTCGTCTGCGGGGATGGAGCTCACAGGAAGGTTTAGGGAAGTGAAGTGAAGGAGCAAAGACAGGAGGGCTCCCAGGAAGTAGCCTACTCCCCAGCTTGCCTGTCGGGACTAGTGGAGCTGCCGTGCCATGCCATGATCATCCTCCAGCACTGTCCTCCCCACCCTGTGCCACGCCATGATCATTCTCCAGCACTGTCCCCGCTCCCACCCTGTGCCATGCCATGATCATCCTCCAGGGTTGTCCCCCCAACCCCACCCTGTCCCACATCATGATCATCCTCCAGCCACGGTGTCAGGAGAGCACAGCCACGGCATCAGGAGAGTACAGCCACGGTGTCAGGAGGGCACCACCACAGCATCAGGAGGGCACAGCTACGGCATCAGGAGAGTACAGCCACGGCTTTGGGAGGGCAGAGCCACGGTGTCAGGATGACACAGCCACAGCATCTAGATAACACATCCACGGAATCATGATAACACGGTCATGGCATCGGGATAACACAGCCACAGTGTCGGTATAACACAGCCACAGTGTCGGTATAACACAGCCACGGCATCAGGATAACACGGCCATGGCATCAGGATAACACGGCCACGGTGTCGGTATAACACAGCCGTGGTGTCAGGAGAGCACAGCTGCAGTGTCAGGATAACACAGCCATGGCATCAGGAGAGCACAGCCGCGGCGTCGGGATAACACAGCCACGGTGTCAGGAGAGCACAGTGGCCGCCACTGAGGGGCTGCAAGTGGCTGTGAGGAGCGCCTCAGGTCCTCAGGCCCTGGGACGTCTGGATCTTGACTCCATCCATGTCCCTTTCTTGGCGCAACATTGACCTTTGTCCCTGGTGATGTCACCATGAGAGGAAATGTGAGGGTTACAGAGGGTCTTTCTACAATTGGTTCTTTTTATTTTTTGTTGAGATGGAATCTCACTCTATCGCCAGGCTGGAGTGCAGTAGTGCGATCTCAGCTCACTGCAGCCTCCACCTTCCAGGTTCAAGTGATTCTCTCGCCTCAACCTCCCAAGTAGCTGGGATTACTGCATGCACCACCATGCCCAGTTAATTTTTGTATTTTTTTTTTTGAGACGGAGTTTCACTCTTGTTACCCAGGCTGGAGTGCAATGGCGCGATCTTGGCTCACCGCAACCCTCTGCCTCCTAGGTTCAGGCAATTCTCCTGCCTCAGCCTCCTGAGTAGCTGGGATTACAGGCATGTACCACCATGCCCAGCTAATTTTTTGTATTTTTAGTAGAGACGGGGTTTCACCATGTTGACCAGGATGGTCTCCTCCTCTTACTCTCGTGATCTGCCCACCTTGGCTTTCCAAAGTGGCGTGAGCCACTGCGCCTGGCCTACAGTTGTTTCTTACAACTGCAGTATGAATTCACAATTTTCTCAAAATAAGTTTAATTAGAAGAAAACAACAAATCCAAGAAGCCACCTTCCTAAACACTTCATTAACTGCATTGATAGAAACAAATCACTCACTACATATCAACGTCTACAAGTTAGAGCCAGATACAGGAACCTCACACACCTCAGTGTAACTCGATTACGACTGAGTTAGAGACCATCTGGCTCACTGATACACTTGATCACGTCTGAGTTAGGGACCATCTGGCTCATGGATACACTGGATCGAGTCAATTAGGGACCGTCTGGCTCGTGGATACACTGGATCACGTCTGAGTTAGAGACCGTCTGGCTTGTGGATACACTGGATTGCGTCTGAGTTAGAGACCGTCTGGCTCACTGCTACTGCTCTTCGTACCACTGTTACATTTTCACTGTTGTCTCCTTGTTGGCCTTGGGTGTGGTGGAATCAGCCCCATGCTCTGGGACATGTAGCCTGAGCCCTGTGCTGTGCGATCATCCCCTCAGGCGACTCTGCTGCTCCTGGGCCTTCACTTGGGGTGGGCTCTGTTGCCTGCGGATACGCCCAGGCACCCTCTCTCCAGCAAGCTCCTCCTGCTGCAAGGTGAGTGTGAGCCCTGGAGGACCTGCCCCCCCACCTCTGGGTCTCTGGAGCTGAACAGAGCCAGAGCTGAGTGCTGGGATCCCACTCTGGGGCAGAGGTTGGGCAGGAGGGGGCTGGGCGGGGCGGGGGCGGGGGAGGGCTGAGAAAGGCTGAGGCAGGCGATGTTCCCAGGCTCTGCCGGGGATGGAGGAGGGGTGGTCAAGGGCACTGGCAGGACGTCTCCTGGGTGTGGGGGAGCTGCCCTGGTGGGAGAGGGTGTCGGCCTGGGGGAAGCAGGGTGGGGCAGGGCGCTTCTCCACTTAGGGATGCTGCTTTCCTGAGCTGAATGGAGCTGGCTCAGATGGGCTGCCTGCAGCCAGGGCAGTGGTTTTCTCACATCCACTTTGGGTGTGATTCAAGACGTGAGTTCTTGGAAGGGATGGCATACAGGCCATGTGATTTGAGCTCATTAAGAGGAAACATCATCTGCCACATAGTCTCAATCCGGCCCGAGATGCATGCCCAGCGCCATAGCGCCCCCCGTCGCTCTCCCGTCCCCAGCAAGGACAGGCGTCCCTCCTCCTCCTCGCCCATGACTCCCGTGTTTGCCTGACCTGACCCAGATTTACCGCGTTTCAGTTTCCTGTCTGGACCTGTGTGCCTAAAACACTGAAGATGAACGCACAGGTGCACGCGCTCCTGCGTACAGGACTCTGTTTTGAGCTCTGTTTGTCCTTTTTCATAGATCGTCGGTTGCCAAGTGAGGAGAGATCCCCCTGACTCCACCGAACGATACACACGTTGGATCAACCAGCTGACATCCGAGCAGCTCCTCACCCAGGTACTGCCCTCGGCTGCGCCTGGCCTGGCACCTGTCTGGGGTCCCCTCTGGGCACCGTATCCTCTGTCTGGGGCAGGTGCCTGGGTCCCCTCTGGGCGCCGTCTCCTCTGTCTGGGGCAGATGCCCAAGTCCCTTCTGGACACCATCTCCCGTGTCTGGGGCAGATGCCCGGGTTCCCTCTGGGCGCCATCTCCTCTGGGGCAGTGCCCAGGTCCCCCCTGGGGAGAGGAACCAAAAAGAAGCATGCATGCTGCCAGAAAATGCATCCTGATTTAGCACCCACGAACGAGTGATTGTCTAGGGCAGGGGGGTTGCTAAGGGCACAGGGCGGCTTTGGGATGCTGATACATGCTCATGACCTTGAACATGGTGAGGGTCCGGGCTGTACACATGTCAGAACCTATTGGCTGTGCATACTGCCCTATGCATGTCATTCTAGCACTTTGGGAGGCTGAGACAAGAGCAGGGCTTGAGTCTAGGAGTTCCAGACCAGCCTGAGCAACATAGTGAGACCCTGTCTCAAAAACATTTGTGGACTGAAACACTTTAAGTATGTGCAGTTATTGTATGTCAGTTACACCTTCATAAAGCTGTAAAACGTTGAGTAATCCGGTACGTATCTAAGGGGCGGCAGCTGGACTTGCCTCTGGAGCTGGGAGGGCAGTTAGGGATGAGTGGTGGAGTGTGTGGTGCTATAAGCCGTGGCCAGGTGTGAGCCTGGGAGTCAGGGCTCTGGAACACAGCCCGGAGCACTCCCATCCAGGACCAGGGCAGGCAGGCAGGCAAGCTTGCTGCTTGTCTCCGGTGCCATCATGGTGCTGTTCATGGGAACTTGGGCTTAGATGACCCCTTGGCCTGGAGCCTTATATCTGTGCTTGGGGACAGGAGGACATCGCTGGTGCCTGCGGCCTCCCGCTCAGGCACAGGACCCAGTCCCACAGGGGGACCTGCCTGCCCAGCCTGCAGGGCATGCTCACTGGGTGGGGACCTTGGAAGGTGCCCTTGGCACAGGAGCTAAGAGAGGTGAGGCGTCACCCTGCAGACCAGCCTCTCAGATGCAGCCCGCGTCCCAGGGTCCTCCCTCTCTGGCACCTCTGGCTACTTCAGAAGTGAGCCTGACGTGAGACCCGGGTCTCCAGCGGCTCCAATTTCTGAGAGTTCACCTTCACCTCTCCGGGCAGGGTCCCTGCCCTCAAGGCTGCCTGCCCGAGGTCAGTCAGAAGCACCGTGTGTGTGTGTGTGTGTGTGTGTGTGTGTGTGTGTCTGTCTGTGTCTGCATGTATGTGCCTCTGAATGCATATGTATGTGTCTGTGAGAAAGCGTGTGTGTGCAAATGTGTTTGAGTGCGTGTGTGCATCTGTGACTGCATGTGTGCATGTGTGAGAATGCCCATTTGCGTGAGTGCATGTGTGTACATAAGTGCATGTCTGAGTGCACGTGTGAGTACGAGTGTAAGTGCATTTGAGTGAGTGCATGTGTGTGCACGTCTGAGTGCATGTGTGAGTGCATTTTAGTGTGAGTGCATGTGTCTGAGTGCATTTGAGTGCATGTGTGAATGTGAGTGCATTTGAGTGTGAGTGCATGTGTCTGAGTGCATGTGTTGAGTGCATGTGTCTGAGTGCATGTCTGCATGTCTGTGAGTGCATTTGTGTGTGCGTGTCTGCATGTGTGTGATTGTGTGTCTGCATTTGTGAGTGCATGTCTGCATGTGTGTGTGCATGTGAGTGCATTTGAGTGTGCGTGTCTGAGTGCATGAGTGAGTGCATGTGTCTATGAGTGTGAGTGCATATGTGAGTGCGTCTGAGTGCATGTGTGTGAGTGCGTCTGAGTGCATGAGTGTGAGTGCATGTGTGTGCATGTCTGCACGTGAGTGCATTTGAGTGTGTATGAGTGCATGTGTCTGAGAGCATGTGTGTCTGCATGTGTGTGCGCATGTGAGTGCATTTGAGTGTGTGAGTGCATGTGTCTGTGTGATTGAGTGCATGTGTGTCTGTGAGTGCGTGTATCTGTATTACTCAGTTTTCTGCTCACAGGAGCATGCTGGCTGCACACGGACAGTATGACTGCTTCCTTTCCAAGCTGGATACCATTTGATTTGTTTTCTTGCCAAGCTGCTCCGGCTAGAACCTCCGGCACGGTGTGGAGAAGTGGTGAGGGCAGGCGTCCTTGCCTTGTCCCCGACCCCAGGGGAGGCTTTGAGTATCTACCACTTGAGTATGACCGTGACCGTGGGGTTCTGGTAAATGCCCTTCGTCGGGTTAAGAAAAGTTCCCCTTTATTCCGAGGTTGAATCATTTTATCATGATAGGGTTCGCTTTTGCCAAATGGTTTTTCTGAGTTTATCGAGATGATCATGTGATTTTGGGCCTTTGTTCTGTTAATATGGCTGGTGCATTGCGGTGATTTTCCTACGTTTACCCATTTTTACAACCCTGAGGTGAATCCAGTCCGTTGTGGTGCAGGGTCCTTTTTCTCGACGGACTCATCTAGCATCTTTTGAATGCATTGATGTTCATAAAGGATATCACATGTTGTTTTCTGTGTTCGTAAAGGTTGTCAGTGTGCTGTTTTCCATGTTCGTTAAGGGTGTTGGCGTGCTGTTTTCTTGTAATATTTTTGTCTGGCTTTGGCATCAGGGTAGTGGTGGCCTCAGAATGGGCTGGGAAGTGTTCCCTCCTCTTGTACTTTTTGGAAGAGGTTGAAGGGTTGGCATTAATTAATTCTTTGAACGTTTGATAGAATCGGCAGGGATATGGTCTGGCGCTGGGCTTTTCTTTGCGGGGTCTTCTCTTTTTTTTTTTTCTTATTTGACTTTTTTTTTTTTTTTTTAATTTTTTATTGGATTTTAGGTTTTGGGGTACATGAGCAGAGCATGCAAGACCGTTGCGTAGGTACCCACATGGCAGTGTGCTTTGCTTTGCTTCTCCCCTTCACCCACATCTGGCATTTCTCCCCAGGCTATCCCTCCCCACCTCCCCCTCCCACTGGCCCTCCCCTTTTCCCCCCAATAGACCCCAGTGTTTAGTACTCCCCTTTCTGTGTCCATGTGTTCTCATTTTTCATCACCCGCCTATGAGTGAGAATATGCGGTGTTTCATTTTCTGTTCTTGTGTCAGTTTGCTGAGGATGACGTTCTCCAGATTCATCCATGTCCCTACAAACGACACAAACTCATCATTTCTGATTGCTGCATAATATTCCATGGTGTATATGTGCCACATTTTTCCAATCCAGTCTATCATCAATGGGCATTTGGGTTGATTCCAGGTCTTTGCTATTGTAAACAGTGCTGCAATGAACATTCCTGTACATGTGTCCTTATAGTAGAACGATTTATAGTCTTTTGGATATATCCCTAGTAATGGGATTGCTGGGTCAAATGGAATTTCTATTTCTAAGGCCTTGAGGAATCGCCACACTGTCTTCCACAATGGTTGAACTAATTTACACTACCACCAACAGTGTAAAAGTGTTCCTTTTTCTCCACATCCTCTCCAGCATCTGTTGTCTCCAGATTTTTTAATGATCGCCATTCTAACTGGCGTGAGATGGTATCTCAGTGTGGTTTTGATTTGCATCTCTCTGATGACCAGTGACGATGAGCATTTTTTCATATGATTTTTGGCCTCATATATGTCTTCTTTCGTAAAGTGTCTGTTCATATCCTTTGCCCACTTTTGAATGGGCTTGTTTGTTTTTTTCCTGTAAATCTGTTTGAGTTCTTTGTAAATTCTGGATATCAGCCCTTTGTCAGATGGGTAAACTGCAAAAATTTTTTCCCATTCTGTGGGTTGCCAATTCACTCTAGTGACTGTTTCTTTTGCCGTGCAGAAGCTGTGGAGTTGCATTAGGTCCCATTTGTCTATTTTGGCTTTTGTTGCCAATGCTTTTGGTGTTTTGTTCATGAAGTCCTTGCCTACTCCTATGTCCTGGATAGTTTTGCCTAGATTTCCTTCTAGGGTTTTTATTGTGCCAGGTCTTATGTTTAAGTCTTTAATCCATCTGGAGTTAATTTTAGTGTAAGGTGTCAGGAAGGGGTCCAGTTTCTGCTTTCTGCACATGGCTAGCCAGTTTTCCCAACACCATTTGTTAAACAGGGAATCCTTTCCCCATTGCTGGTTTTTGTCAGGTTTATCAAAGATTGTATAGTTGTAGATATGTTGTGTTGCCTCCGGTGTCTCTGTTTTATTCCATTGGTCTATATCTCTGTTTTGGTACCAGTACCATGCTGTTTTGATTACTGTAGCCTTGTAGTATAGTATAGTTTGAAATCCGGTAGTGTGATGCCCCCTGCTGTGTTCTTTTTGCTTAGAATTGACTTGGCTCTGCGGGCTCTCTTTTGGTTCCATATGAAGTTCATGGTGGTTTTTCCAGTTCTGTGAAGAAAGTCAATGGTAGCTTGATGGGGATAGTGTTGATTCTGTAAATTACTTTGGGCAGTATAGCCATTTTCACGATATTAATTCTTCCTAACCATGAACATGGAATGTTTCTCCATCTGTTTGTGTCCTCTCTGATTTCGTTGAGCAGTGGTTTGTAGTTCTCCTTGAAGAGGTCCCTTACGTTCCTTGTGAGTTGTATTCCAAGGTATTTTATTCTTTTTGTAGCAATTGTGAATGGCAGTTCGTTCTTGATTTGACTTTCTTTAAGTCTGTTATTGGTGTAGACGAATGCTTGTGATTTTTGCACATTGATTTTATATCCTGAGACTTTGCTGAAGCTGCTTATCAGTTTCAGGAGTTTTTGGGCTGAGGCGATGGAGTCTTCTAGGTATACTATCATGTCGTCTGCAAATAGAGACAATTTGGCTTCCACCTTTTCTATTTGAATACCCTTTATTTCTTTTTCTTGCCTGATTACTCTGGCTAGAACTTCCAGTACTATATTGAATAGGAGTGGTGAAAGAGGGCATCCTTGTCTAGTGCCAGATTTCAAAGGGAATGCTTCCAGTTTTTGCCCATTCAGCATGATATTGGCTGTTGGTTTGTCATAAATAGCTTTTATTACTTTGAGATACGTTCCATCAATACCGAGTTTATTGAGGGTTTTTAGCATAAAGGGCTGTTGAATTTTGTCAAATGCCTTCTCTGCATCAATTGAGATAATCATGTGGTTTTTGTCTTTGGTTCTGTTTATGTGGTGAATTACGTTGATAGTGCGGGGTCTTCTCTTATCTCTTGCTTGTCCGAGAGCGATTCGTGTTTTGTTTCTTTCTGAGTCAGTTTTCTTGGTTTATGTCCTTCCAGGACTCGTGTGTTTCATCCAAGTTATCTCATCATTCTCCACGTCCTTTTACGCATTTCATGTTTTTTTCCTGATTGAAAGTAGCGTGTTTATTTTGGGTTTTCACAGAAAGCTTTACCACCTATCAGAAGCAGAGAGGAGTCCTTTTGTGAGGCATAACCAGTGAGCTCGGCAGGGGCCGGGTTTGGCCACTGGTCTCCCACTGCCCCCTCCCCTCATCTGTCAGTCGTGGGCCCAGACACGTCGGCCCCGTTGTGAGCCCCCGTCCCTGTGGAGAAGGGACACAGATTCATCTGTCACCTTCTCGTGACACTTTATGGAAATAAACTGTAAGCTGTTTGTGGCACTCTATTCTTTCTGCTGACTCTGTCAATGTTAATTGCTTCTAGGTTTTCACTGCGAATGGCCCAACGGTGATCATGCCCACCTGGTTCTGCTCTCGTGCGTGGTTTTCCCACGTGGGCCCCTTTGACGAGGGAGGTCGGGTAAGTGCCGAGACGTGGGACTCGGGGCCTCTTGCAGACCCTGGGTTTGGGGCCTGTCCGCTGTGGGTTCTGCACACTGCCCACCCTCCCTCTGCCGTGCCTTCGGGGCTCTGCAGACCTAGGAGATCCCTTCCCCAAGGGTCTTCCTGGGGCCCCTCCTGGTGCTCACCAGCATCTCAGTCATTTTGCCGGAAGCAGATTTCTGCATAAAGGCTGTGGATGCCCCAGGCATCAGCCCCTGACCTACACCGGTCCCGGGTGAACTCATCCTGAGGTAAAAGCAGTGTGTGGGAAAGTGCAGGACATGGAAGCTGTTGGCCAGGCTGTCTCTGGAACAACAGAGGGAGAAGAAGAACCCATCTTCCCTGTCGGGGTGCACCCGCAGGTGTCTGTGTCTCCGTCCTCCCCATCAGGGTACACCCGCAGGCGTCTGTGTCCCCGTCCTCCCCATTGAGGTCCACCTGCAGGTGTCTGTGTCCCTTCCTCTCCGTCGGGGTGCACCTGCAGGCGTTTGTGTCCCCGCCCTCCTCATTGGGGTGCACCTGCAGGCGTCTGTGTCCCCATCCTCCCTGTTGGGGTGCATCTGCAAGTGTCTGTGTCCACACCATGCCAGCTACAGCCTCTGCCTCCCTGTGGGGACTGAGGAGCCCAGGGCTGGGGCATCACCCACAGGGAGCTGGCCACGCTTGCCCACACCAGTCTCTAGTGGCAGGAAGCCTGGACACAGAGACCAGTGGAGGGTCTGACACAGGGTTCCTGGAGGTCCAGAGACCCAGGCCAATGACTGGAGTCCAGTCTCCACCTCCTACTCTTGTGACGGGCTAAGGCCAGGGGCTCAGGGATTCGAGCTGTGATGAGGCCACGGCTGGAGCAGGTGACGGCCTTGGGGCCTGCCTTGGGTGACAGGGATGACAGCAGTGTCTACCACTAAGACGGGGACAGATAGTGTTTCCTTGGTTCCTGCCAACTTGTCCCCAAAGAAATGAGTCCAGCAGAAGTCACAAGGCGCCCTGAGAGCCAGAAGCTTGGTCTGGGGCTGATCCTCAGCCATCTCTCTGTGGGCCTCGAGGAGCAGCTGAAGGGCAGGGACCATCAAGGTGGACGTGGGCAGTGCAGACCCCAAGGCGGCCACATGCAGAGGCCGAGCCAGAGCCAAAGGGGCTGCAGGAACGGTCACCATGAGCTGAAACATGCAAGATGGGGAGATGCTTAACTAGAAAGTGCACCGTTTCTGCATTCACAGTGGCAGGGTGGGAGGGCTGCAGGTGAGTCTGGGATTAGGAGGTGGGTGTGGCAGTGCCTGACAACACCCCGCTTTGTTAGGGGAGTCCCCTGTGGGCAACCATCACAGGCCCTTAAATAAAGAGAAACAAACATGATGTTATCTTGGTTCGAAACAGGTTTGTAGCGGGATATGGTGGCTCACACCTGTAGTCCCACGAGCTCAAGAGGCAAAGACAGGAGGGTCCGTTGAGGCCAGGAGTTCGAGACCAACCTGGGCAGCACTGGGAAACCCCGTTTCTAACAAAACCAAACAAAGCAAAAGCAGGTTTCTGAGGGAGGTCTGGCCTGAAGGAAGCTTATCGTTGCCACAGGAAGGACTCAAATCACCACCCAGCACAACAGCCACACCTCAGGTGTTTTCCTGTCTATGCGGCACGTTCCTAGGGTTGGACACATGATGACAGGCGCATGTTCAGTTTTGTGAGCCAGGACTCCTGGGCAGCACCTCGGGTCCCTCAACCCGCCATCTGCACAAGATGTTCCTGTTGCTCAAGCTCCTCGCCGGCCCCTCACCAGGCTTTGGTGTTGTCCAACTTTTGAATTTTGCCTGTTCTAGTCGGAGTTCATGGTTTCCCACCGTGCTCACACTCTGCACGTCCAAGGTGACTTGCCGCGTTGAAGGGTGCCTCACTTGGTAACTGGCTGCTTTCTGTTGCTTTGTGATGTGTCCGGCTCGTTGGCCTGTTCTCACGAGCTTGTCTTTTCATCGCTGGATTACAGGTGTTCTTGCCAGACGTTTACTCTGTAAAGATTCCCCTCTGCCTGTGCCCCCAGGTGCTCTGCTTGTCCCAGATTCTGCCCTCAGTTCTGCCCTCCTTGCCTTGCAGTCCGCTTCCCCAGGCTCCAGCTGCAGTTTCCTCTGAAGGCGCTGGCTGCCCAGCCTCTGACAGCCTGTAGCCATCACCTGCTTTTGCATTTTTAAAATTTCTCTGCACATTGGAGAAGGTTTGCATTTTATTCTAGGGGTTATATCTGTACTTAACCCTTTTTTTAGTCCCCATATAATGCCCACACAACAATCAGTGAGATTACTGTTTTCCTGTTTTTCTTTCTCCTTTCCCCTCTTCCCGTTGTTTTTATTTTTGAGACAGAGTTTCACTGTTTTTGCCCAGGCTGGAGTGCAATGGTTTGATCTCTGCTCACTGCAGCCTCTACCTCCCAGGTTCAAGCCATTCTCCTGCCTCAGCCTCCTGTGTAGCTGGGATAACAGGCATGTGCCACCATGCCCAGCTAATTTTTGTCTTTTCAGTAGAGACGGGGTTTCACCATGTTGGTCAGGCTGGTCTCGAACTCCTGACCTCAGGTGATCCACCCACCTCAGCCTCCCAAAGTGCTGGGATTACAGGTGTGAGCCGCTGCGCCCGGCCCCTCTTCACATTTTTCATTGCATTGGTTTAGTTAGGTCAGAGGATGAACATTCACATCTAGTTTCCACCCCATCCCTGTCCCTGCACCTCCCACCTGCAATCACAGCCGGCGTCCACCACCACGGCTCTGGTGGGGGTGTCTGGTTCCCATGTGACTGGAGCCACGGCTTTCTGTGAGGCTGCATTCTCAGAACTGTGCTCCTGGGCCTGGCACTGGAGGAAGCGTCTGGCTGTGCAGGACGTCCTCGGTTCACGTGCTGTTCCGTGACTGCCTCTTCATTTTGAGAGGCCCAGTGTGCGCTGATCTTGTCTTTGTAAGCTGTGTGACCTTCTTGCCTGGAGACTCTGATAATTGCTTTTTATTGCTGGAGTCTATCAGTCTCAGTAGGATTTGTCTCCAGTTACCTGATGGGGCTTCTCAATGTGTAGAAGCAGATCTGCTTTTATTCCTGGAAATTTTTCGTGGATTGCACCGTTTCGTTTTTCTGTTTTAAAGACTCCAGCTCTGCATTGGTTAGGTTTTCTTCGTCTCCGTTTCAACCACTTTCTCTCTGACCCTTTCACTTCTTTCATTATCTAATTTCTATTTTCCTGGTTATTTTCCCACCTTTCTTTAGTATCCCTTATTATATTTTTACTAAAATCTATCTTCTCTTAAGGATCTTGTGATTTAGTCTTCGCTTCTCATCTATTTTGTTCCTTTTTGGTTTTCTTCTTGAGGCAGGTGTCACTCTGCTGCTGAGGCTGGAGTGCAGTGGCTCAGTCTCAGCTCACTCTGCTGCCCAGGTTCAAGCAATGCTTGCACCTCAGCCTCCTGAGTAGCTGGGACTGCAGGTGCCCAGGACCTCGCCTGGCTACTTTTTTCCATATTTTTGGTAGCGACAGGGTTTTGACGTGTTGCCCAGGCTGCTCTCAAACTCCTGGGCTCAAGCAACCACCCCCACCTCCGACCTCCCAAGTGCTGGGACTAAACCTGCGGGCCGCCGCACCCAACCAACTTTGTCTCTTCTTTAAATTTCTTCAGTCTAGTCGACCCAATTTTACATAAAACTTTATTGAGGTATAATTCACACGCCATACAATTCTCCTATTAAAGTGTGTAATTCATGTTTGTTAGCTAATTTATAGGGCTGTACAGTCATCATCTACCATCTCCCTAGAATGTTTTCATCCCCCAAAAAACACCTCCTGTTCCCAGGAGTACAGCGCACTGCCCAGCACCCACCAGCCCTGGCCGAGGCCTGCACCCTTCCTCAGTATCTATTTACATCCACCCCAGAGGGGCCAGGTTCCCTTAGTCTTGGTTTCTGATTCAAGCTGGCTCTCCACCAGCTCCCCGCACACCCCACCCCACAGCCCGAAACACACGTTGAGGTTGTGGAATTTATCCTGGCTGGTTATTTACAGCATTTTTTCTGTTCCTGGTCTGGGGTTTGTTGTTATTGTAGGGGGAGAGGCTGAATTTTTATCCTCGGAAGTGTCGGCAGTTTTTAGTTTTCTCTGCTGGTTTTGGTACAGAGGAGACTTCATGTCCCTGAGTTCTGCGAGCTGCAGTCACTGGGCTCAGGCTCAAGTTCTCCCCCTTCTGTCCCCGAGTGGTGACTGCTGCTTCCTCCTGGAGGTTTGTGCTGGGGACAAGTCCCTGGAGAGGGGCGTGTGGTGCTGGGGACGGGCCCTGGAGGAGGACGCACCTGCCTGATTCTGCTTCCTTTTGCCTCCTGGGATCCGAGCCTCCAGAGCCTCCGGCCCCACCTTCCCGGGAGTGGCTTTAGCTCACTCTCTCCTCCTCCAGGCAGTTCTGGGCACTGCACCCTCAAAGGCTGCCCGAGGATGGTCCTGGGAGCCGATTGGGGTTGGGTGGTCGCTCGAATCTTCCCCAATGCCTCCCCCTCCCCCTGTGCACTGCCAGGGACCCCTCCTCCCCACCACAGCACATTCCAGGCACTTGCAGGCTGGTTGGGAAAAGCCTAGGGGAGGAGTGAGGCCATTTCAGTCCCCTCAGCAGCAGTTGGGGGACAGGAAAGAAAAGGGGAACAGGCCCTGTGCTCACAGCACCCCATCCTCCCGGGGCAGAGGCACTGGGAGGAGCTGCTGTGGAATAAATTCTCACTTTATTGCCAGAAAGTAGGAAAACCCCCAGGGTTGGGTTCCTCCTGGTGATAGGAAGACAGAAACCTCTTTCCTCTTCATAAACTTACAACATGTTCAGAATTTCAGTGCTTTTGAAAACAGAAAATTAGAGAAAATATCTCAGTGACCCCTGTGAGGAACTGTGCCCACCAACCCCGTGGGACCCTTCACCCTAAATCACCCTGAGGGTCTCTGTCCACCAGCACCCACGGGAACCTCCGCCCTAAATCACCCGTGTGAGGGACTCTATCCACCAGCACCCACGGGAACCTCCGCCCTAAATAACCCGTGTGAGGGACTCTATCCACCAGCACCCACGGGAACCTCCACCCTAAATCACCCTTGTGAGGGTCTCTATCCAGCACCAGCGGGAAGCTCTGCCCTGATCACCCGAGTGAGGGACCCTGTGCACCAGTACCCGTGGGAGCCTCCACTCCACGTCACCCAGCAGCGTGGCGCCTGGGCTTCTGTGACTCCTCTGTCTTTGTCTTTTGGTGGATAAACTTTTAGCAGGGCTGTCAACATGATTTTGAGGTCTGCTCTTTACGTCAGCATCTTGTTACCAATCTTTTCATGTCAACATTGTGGCTTTTGTAAAAGGGATTTCACATCCTTCTGGTGCCCGGAGGGCCCTGCAGAGGCGCGAGTTACATGGTGCGCAGTTAAAAGGTTGGACGTGGAACCACAGCACTGTGTGCCCGTCCTGGGAGCAAACAGGCTGGCAGTCTGGCCGCGATATTTTGGGGCTTTTACTGACCTGTACTTGAAGTTTGAGCGTTACCGAGGAGAGAAGAGGCTGGACTGCTAGGCTCTCAGAAAACCCACCCTCTCCTGGAGCGAAGGCGTCTCCAGGCAGCTGACCCAGGTGGGCTGCAGCAGAGCCATAAGGAGACCCGACTCCATGCCCTGCCCCTCCCGCAGCTGTTATGCTGGAATTTAAAACAGCAGCAAGGGCCCCGCTCAGCACAAGGCCAGAGCCCACGGACCCATGGCTTGATCACAGTCCTGAGCTGAGGATTGGGGTCTGCCCAGGAGGGGAGCGGGCAGAGGGCAGGGGCCACCTCCCTCCTGGTCAGGCAGAGGCCATTGGGATTATGGGCTGGGGGAGGGAGGGTCCAGGTTCTCAGGACAGAAGAGTCCAGTGGGAATGCCTGCAGAATGTTCCGGAGCAGAATCCCCATTGACACGGAGGGAGTGTTCATGGATCAGCCCCGTGGGCTGAGGTTCAAGTTTTTGAGCTTAGACAAGTGAGCAGGGCTGGCGTGGCCCAGGGCTGCCTCCCCCACATGCCCACCCAGCACCACAACCCCGGGGCTGCCTCCCCAACAGCTGAGCTTCCCTGCACACAGCCCCAGAGCCCACCCAGCACCACTGTCCTCTGTCCACAGTTGGCACTTTGAGTCCCTTGAGCCTCTGGGCTGCGGCCACTGGCAGGAAAGGATAGGATGAGCCACCCAGGAGCCATGGGCTGCAAGACCCTGACCCACCCCAGCCCCTTTCCTCGGCTGTCTATCTTCCTCTTTGCCTGAGACCTTTGCTGCTGAAAATGGAATTTGGGGCCGAGTGAAGAGCCAGCCCACCATCTGCTTCCCCTTGTGCTGGCCTTGTGAGGACTCAGTTTCACTTCGGTTGCTCATGCCTGTTGTGGTTGGTTCACGCCTGTTGTGGTCACTGCCCCACGTCCCTGCTGAGCCTCTAAACTGGTTTCTTTGCAACAAAAGCTTTTCCACCAGTTCCTGGCTGGCCGGGTGAGCACAGGTGTGGTACATCTGAGAGCCCCGATGATGCCCCTGCTTCTCCCGCCATTTCTCTCACGCTGCAGGGCATCCCTGAGGACCTGCTGTTCTTCTATGAGCACCTCAGGAAGGGCGGCAGCGTCATCCGCGTGGACCAGAGTCTCCTGCTCTACCGCTACCACCCGCAGGCGGCCACACACTCCGTCCTCGAGTGAGTCACTCCACCGGGCCCCGGGACGCCTGGGAGACCCAGGAATGCAGGAGGCATCTGGGGTTGGGGCTGGGGTTGGTGGGGCTGATGCTGGAGGCTGTGGTCGGGGCCCTGCCTTGTGATGCAGGGTCTGGTGGGAAAACAGCACATCCCCAGGGTGCTGGAGGCTTGGCATTCACACAGGGGCGGTTCCCAAAGGCACCAGGGTGAATGTCCTTCCTGTGTCTGTGAGGTTAAATGACCACGCTGGTGCTGGCACTGGGTCCTTTTGAAATCCTGCTCTCCCTTTAACCCAACAGGAGTCTCATGAGTGGGGGTGATGTTGGCTGGGACGATAGGCCTGGGGGAGCGTGGCTGCTGTGGCGAGTGGTGGAGGCACGGCCTGGGGATCACAGCACCCAGTGAGGACGTACCCAGGCTGCGGGGCCCAGCTTCCTCCCCCGCGTTGCCATCAGGCGCAGCCATGTGGGCTGCACTGGAGCCGTGGCAGGATGAGGTAGATCCAGTGAAACTACCACATCTGGAATCCCTTCCTTAGAACGTGCAGCATACGCAGGCCTCGGCCACCCGAGCTGCTGCTGCCTGGCACTGAGTCAGTACACAGGCTGCTGTCCGAAGCTGGTCTCGTGGCCACTGCGGGTACCCGGGGCCCCCAGACTCTCAAGACCCCAACTAGGGTGGTCCGTGTGTGGCAGCTGCGACGGCCCCAGCCTGCTGTGACAGGGTTGAGGCTCTCAGCAAGATCCTGGCTCCTCAGGTGGAAACGATCTTCCCAGGGGGGCTCGGGTTCGGGGTCACGGGTTGGGGCTGGGGGATTGCAGAGCCACAAGGTTCCCTGTTCGGGGCATCATCCTCCCTCCCGCGTCTATACTGCAGGGTGTGTAGATCTCTTGGTGTCGCCTGCTGTGAGCTTTAGCATCGCCGAGTGAAACTTCTCTCCCTCCTCTTCCTGCCCACGCCCACCAGCACCTTGGCGCCACCTTGGACAGTGTGTCCATGACACTTCTGCTCCTTCAAAAATTCCCAGAAATGCTGATTTGTGCTTTTGGGAAAAACTGGGTTTCTGCCTTTCCCAGTCCTGAATTGGGGCTACGGATTCCTCTTGAGAACGTAAAAAGAAAGGTGCAGGGGTCTGTTCTCCCTGATTAAATAAGAACTTTTTAAAATGTGAAAAATGGAGGTAAGCATGAACAGACAACAGACGTTTCATCATGGCTGTTTCTAAATTTTATTTTCCTATAACGGGCCAACATTTTCAGACAGGAGACCCCTGGGAAAGCCCAGGGGACATCAGAGGCTCCCCGACTTCACATCTACCCATGGCCACAGTCCCGGAGCCTGGACTGCCTTCCTCTCGTGTGAACCCCATGAGGCCCCGAGCTGATGTGGATCCATGAGAAGGATCAGGTTTGTCCCCTCAAGCGACACCCAACAGACCCAGCCTGCTGAGGACAAGATGGCAAAACTCAGCAAGGCCACATCACCTGGTGGGCAAGTCCTCACAATTGTCTGTCCTCGCCCAGGTTCACGTACACTCAGCCGTGCACACAGACCACACATGCACACGTACACCATGCACATATGTGCACATGTGCGCAAATGTATGTACACATGTACTCAGCACTCACACTTCCTGCACACAGGCACTTAATTTGCATGCACACACATTCACAGTACATGCAGGTATACACACTGCATACATGCACATACATGCTCACCGCATATGTGCACTCACCATACAGGTGCGCACACTGCATACATGCAACACACTGCATATATGCACACACAAGCTCACCGTATGCACACTAGCTCACTGCATACATACACTCACTATACACGCACACTACACACTCACTGCATATATGCACATGCACTCACTACATGCATGCACACATGGGTACACATGCATGTACACACATCTGCACAGTACAGGCATGTACTCCCTGCACAAAGGCACACACTGTACTCATGCCATACACGCACACACACACACATACATGCTTCAGTGCCCTCTAGTCACTGATGTGGACAGGATGTCCCTGTGTCCCAGGCAGAGTTGGGAGTTGAGGCAGCTGCAGAAGCTGGAGAGGAAAAGGTGGACTCCAGGCGGGACCTCCCTGACACCTCCTTAGCCTGCAGCTCCCCCCATCCCACTGCCTGTGGGGGCTTTCCTGCAAACAGGGCACCACAGGGTTGGGGGGAGTCAAAAGTCAGCTGGGAGGCCACCAGGATCCCACAGGTTCCGAGCAGGTGTCAGCCCTGCTCAGATAGCTCCTTCCCCAAAGCCCCCTTCCTGTCAGGGGCCTAAGGGGCAGCACAACCCACTTCCCCCCCAGCCTTCACCCCACTTCCCCCACCCTTCACCCCACTTCTCCCCCACCTTTTACCCCACTTCTCCTCCACCCTTTGACCTGACCCTGGGGTCGTCTGTCTAGGAAGGTCACATCCTGCATTCTCTACTTTAAATGGAAAAAGCATTAACTATTCCTTTCTGAGACTCCTGGCCTCCTCTTCGGGGGTCGTCTGTCTAGGAAGGTCACATCCTGCATTCTCTACTTTAAATGGAAAAAGCATTAACTATTCCTTTCTGAGACTCCTGGCCGCCTCTTCGCGCCACGCACTTCCATCCATGTTTGTGTTAGACTTCACTATGTGAAGTTCATTGCTCTCTGGTCCTTGGGAATGACTCATTTTCTCGGATGGTGCCAGAGCTGTGTGTTGCCTGGCTGTGCCTGAGTGGTGTTTGGGGGCTGAAGTACATCTTGCTTGTGGGTTTCTCTCAGAAATGTGCTAAACAGCCACACAACAGATTGTCCGAGGTTCAGGGTGAGGGAGTCATTCCCCTACAGGAGCCCAGAGCTCCTGGGAAGCCCCACTGAAATCTCAGAAGCCCAGCACCACCCCATGACTAAAACATCTGTGTGTACCCTGGGAGGCAGTAAATCAGAACAGCCAAATCCTGCCCCAATCCTGAGGCTGAACCCACAAGGGCCTTGCTCAGGGGATGCGTCACCAGCATCGTGTCTCTGAGACCCAGCGAGCATGGCCCAGACCCCACCCCAGAGGAGGTTCCCATGGACACAACTGCCTTGACAGAGCAGAGGGCACCCCAGACTTGGCCAGGTCAGGGTCTGCCGGGCACGGGTCAGCATGGCTGCACCACAGCAGTTGGGGAGGGCAGCATCAGGGACACATCCCAGGCCAATCTGGCTTCTGTGTCCCCTAGCCCCTCTAGCCTCTGGCCCCTCTAGCTCCCAGGGCTTCAAGATGGGGTCAGCCTGGGCAGGCAGCCTCAGGAGCAGCCTCGAGGGAGAGGCCCCCGTAGGTGGTGGACAATAGCGATGGGGGCACGTGGGGAGGGGCTGGGGCGGGAGGACAGAAGGTGGGGCAGGAAGGGCCTGGCCCAGCTGGGGGTCCGGGCAGTGATGGGGCTGGCCAGAGCAGCGGGTCATAGGAAGGAACCTGTCCCCAAGACAGCGACCCAGAGTCTGCCTGTCACAGCAGAGGCAGAAAGAACAGAGACCAGGGGCCCAGGGGAGTGGAAGCATTCTGGGGGCAGCGAGCCCGAGGCAGGTCGCGTCCATGTGTGAATGCTGCGATTTTATGGGATGGACACATGTGCCCTTATGGACAAAAGGTTTCAATGGGAAACCGGAATTGGGTCAAGTCCAGTCCTCTGCGTCCCACAGAAATTCCGCCTTCTGGAACCTTCCAGATTCTTAAGCAACAGCTTCTCGTCTGTTCGCACCTATTGGGACTGATGGAAGGGGTGGGTCCCTGCCTAGGAGTGTGGCTGCCTCCAGCTGGGACAGGTGACTCTAGGGCAGCCAGTCTCTCTCAGACAGCAGGCAGGTGCCCGCCCACCGCTGGCCTGGCAGCGTACGTCACGTCCCTGTGCAGCGGAATCTGTGCCAATCTCTGGGACCGAGAGGGCAAGAGGAGGCACGGGGGCCCCGCCCTGCCAGTCACCCTCCTCCACCGCAGGGCGACCATCTGGACCCACCGTGTCCGCTTCCTGGAAGAGCGGGCCCTACCCCGCTGGGCAGCCTTCACCATCTGGAACGCCGGCAAGCAGGGGCGCCGGCTATACCGCAGCCTGACCGCCGCCAACCGGCGCAAGGTGGGAACCCGGTCCCTCAAACACCGTCGGCCCCGCCCCTGCCCGTGCACTGTCCTGAGGCACAGATCCTGGCCAATCCAGAGCTGCCCTTCTGTGCCTGTCCCTAGGTGGTGGCATTCTGTGACGTGGACAAGAACAAGATCAGGAAAGGCTTCTACTGCCACGAGGACTCCCAGGTGTGTGGGGCCGCGTGGCATCACCCTCGGGGTCACCTGCCTGCTCCGGGGCTGAGGGACGGCTGACCACAGCCTTCACCCTTGGCTGAGTTCACCTGCTGCCTCCTCCGGGCCTCCAGGGAGCCCAGACCCCATCCTTTGAGGGATAACCCTGCTCTCCCTCATGGGTCTGGGACTTGGGTAGCTCACCCTGGTCAGTTCTGCAGTCAGCTGTCACAGGGCCAGGTGGGGTGGTGGGGACCAGGGATCCTGCCCTGAACAGCCACCGCAGTCTGTGACTCTGGCACATATCTGCCGCTGGAGCCCCAACTCTGTATGAGCAGACTCAGCGGCTGCACACACCCCAAGGGCGTCTTCTCCTGGGATGGCAGGACTGATGACCACTCTTACTCTAAGGAAAGGCCCAAGCCCCACATCCCCATCCTGCATTTCCGAGCCGCCCGGCCACCCTTCATCATCTGCGTGAAGCTGGTGAGTGTGGGGCCCTTGGCAGCGGGTGGCGGAGGGAGGCTGCAGGTTTCAGGTTCTGCCACATGGACACCCACCCTGCCATGCAATGACTGTGTGGCCTGGGATGAGACCCCAGCCATGCCATGGTGGGTGTGGGGACAGGTGCTGCAGCCGTCCACAATGGCACCACAAGCCGGGCCAGGGACAGCAGCTGATGCCCTGGGCAGCTAGAGGATGGCCTGCACGGGCATAGGGGGGATGGATGCCTGTCTCTTTTCTGTCGTATGAAACCAACATTTGTTAGAAACTTGCAAAGCACAGGACCACTGATGCCAGGTCTGAGAGGCCAAGGCCAGGACCTTCAGCTCCTGTAAAATGAGGTGGCCATACCAGGGGTATCCTAAGCCCGTGAGCGTGAATGAGCCTTACCTGGGGTTAGCACGTGACAGGCACCTTGGGCTCCAAATGCAGCCTTTTTCCCCAAATGTGGGGAGTCCAGGCTGGCTGCGGGGAGGGCTGGGGTGAGTGGGGTTTTTTTTATTGAAGTTCTGGGATACCTGTGCTAAATATGAATGTGCAGGTTCGTTACATAGTTACCTATGTGTCACGGTGGTCTGCTGCACCTGAGTGAGAACATGCGGCATTTGGTTTTCTGTTCCTGTGTTAGTTTCCTAAGGATGGCTTCCAGCTACATCCATGTTCCTGCAAAGGGTACGAACACATTCTTTTTTATGGCTGCGTAGTATTCCATGGTGTCTATATGCCACATTTTTAAATCCAGTTTATCATTGATGGGCATTTGGGTTGGTTCCAAGTCTTTGCTATTGTGAACAGTGCTGCAATAAACATGTGTGCATGTGTCTTTATCGAATAACTTACAATCCTTTGGGTATATACCCAGTAATGGATCTGCTGGGTCAAATAGCATTTCTGGTTCTAGATCCTTGAGGAATTGCCACACTGTCTTCCACAATGAACTAATTTACACTCCCACCAAGAGTATACAAGTGCTATTTCTCCACATCATGCCAGCATCGTCAGTCATTCCTGACTTTTTAATGATCGCTGTTCTAAGTGGCATGAAATGGTATCTCACTGTGGTTTTGATTTGCATTTCTCTAATGACTAGTGATGATGCACTTTTTTTCATATGTTTGTTGGCCGCATAAATGTTGTCTTTTGAGAATTGTGTTCCTATCCTTTGCCCACTTTTGGATGGGGTTTTTTTTCTTGTAAATTTAGGTTCCTTGTAGATTCTAGTTATCAGACCTTTGTCAGATGGACAGGTTGCAGAAATCTCCCATTCTGTAAGCTGCCTGTTCACTCTGATGGTGGTTTCTTTTGCTGTGCAGAAGCTCTTTAATTAGGTCCCAACTGTCAGTTTTGGTTTTTGTTGCCATTGCTTTTGGTGGTTTACTCATGAAGTCTTTGCCAGTGCCTATGTCCCAAATGGTACTGCCTAGATTTTCATTTAGGGTATTTATGGTTTTAGGTTTTACATTTAAGTCTTTAATCCATCTTGAGTTAATTTTTTGTGTAAGGTGTAAGGAAGGGGGCCAGTTTGTTTTTGCATATGGCTAGCCAGTTTTCCCAGCACCATTTATTAAATAGGCAGTCTTTTCCCCATTGCTTGTTTTTGTCAGGTTTGTCAAAAATCAGATGGTTGTAGATGTGTGGTGTTACCTTTGAGGCATCTGTTCTGTTCCATTGGTTTATATATCTATTTAGGTACCAGTTCCATACTGTTTTGGTTACTGTAGCCCTATAGTATAGTTTGAAGTCAGGTAGTTTGATGCCTTCAGCTTTGTTCCTTTTGCTTAAGATTGTCTTGGCTATATAGGCTCTTTTTTGGTTCCCTATGAAATTTAAGGTTTTTTCTAGTTCTGTGAAGAAAGACAGTAGTAGCTTGATGGGAAGAGTATTGAATCTATAAATTACTTTATGGCCATTTTCATGATATTGATTCTTCCTATCCACGAGCATGTAATTTTTTTCTATTTGTGTCCTCTCTTATTTCCTTAAGAAGTGGTTTGTAGTTCTCCTTGAAGAGGTTCTTCATGTCCCTTGTAAGTTGTATTCCTAAATGTATTATTCTCTTTGTAGCAATTGTGAATGGGAGTTTGCTCATGATTTGGCTGTTATTGGTGTATAGGAATGCCTGTGATTTTTTGCACATTGATATTGTATCCTGAGACTTTGCTGAAGTTGCTTATCAGCTTAAGGAGTTTTTGGGCTGAGATGATGGGGTTTTCTGACCATACAATCATGTCATCTGCAAAACAGAGACAATCTGACTTCCTCTCTTCCTATCTGAATACCCTTTATTTCTTTCTCTTGCCTGCTTGCCCCGGCCAGAACTTCCAATACTATGTGGCGACAGAGGGTATTCTTGTCTTGTGCTAGTTTTCAAAGGGAATGCTTCCAGCTTTTGCCCATTTGGTATGATATATTGGCTATCGGTTTATCACAAATAGCTCTTATTATTTTATGTTACATCAACACCTAGTTTATTGGGAGTTTTCAGCACAAAGGAGTATTGAATTTTATTGAAGGCCTTTTCTGCATCTGTTGAGGGAATCATGTGGTTTTTGTCTTGGGTTCTGTTAACGCGATGTATTACATTTACTGATTTGCGTATGTTGAACCAGCCTTGCATCCCAGGGATGAAGCTGACTTGATCATGGTGGATAAGCTTTTTCATATGCTGCTGGACTTGATTTCCTAGTATTTTATTGAGGATTTTTGCATCAACATTCATCAGGAATATTGGCCTGAAATTTTCTTTTCCTGTGTCTCTGCCAGGTTCTGGAATCAGGATGATACTGGCCTCATAAAATGAGTTAGGGAGGCATCCCTCCTTTTCTATCATTTGGAATAGTTTCAGAAGTTGTATCAGCTCCTCTTTTTACCTCTGGTACAATTCAGCTGTGAATCCATCTGGTCCTGGGCTTTTTTTTTTTTGGTTGGTAGGCTATTAATTACTGCCTCAATTTCAGAACTTGTTACTGATCTTTTCAGGGATTCAACTTCTTCCTGGTTTAGTCTTTGGAGGGTGTGTATACCCAGGAGTTTATCCATTCCCTCTAGATTTTCTAGTTTGCATAGAGGCGTTTCTAGTATTCTCTGATAGTAGTTTCCATTTCTGTGGGATCAGTGGTGACATCCCCTTTAACATTTTTTATTGTGTCTGCTTGATTCTTCCTTTCTTTCTTAGTCTGGCTAGCAGTCTGTTTTGTTAATATTTTCAAAACACCAGCTCCTGGATTCATTTATTTTTTTTTAAGTTTTTTTTGTGTCTCTGTCTCCTTCAATTCTGCTCTGATCTTAGTTATTTCTTATCTTCTGCTAGCGTTTGAATTTACTTGTCCTTGCTTCTCTAGTTCTTTCAATTGTGATGTTAAAGTGTCAATTTTAGATCTTTCCTGCTGTCTGATGTGGGTACTTAGTGCTATAAATTTCCCTCGACACTGCTTTAGCTATTCTGGTATGTTTTCTCTCGTTCTTGCTGGTTTCGAAGAACTTCATTATTTCTGCCTTAATTTCATTATTTACCCAGTAGTCATTCAGGAACAGGTTGTCAGTTTCCATGTAGTTGTGCGGTTTTGAGGGTTCTGATTTGAGACAGTCTGGCTCTGTCCCCAGGCTGAGTGCAGTGGCGTGATCTTGGCTCACTGCAACCTCCACCTCCCGGCTTCAAGTGATTCTCCTGCCTCAGCCTCCTGAGTAGCTGGGACTACAGGTGTGTACCACTATGCCCAGCTAATTTTTGTAATTTTAATAGAGATGGGGTTTCAACACGTTGGCCAGGATGGTACTGATCTCTTGACCTCATGATCTGCCTGCCTCAGCTCCCAAAGTTCTGGGATTACAGGCATGAGCCAAGACACCAACCTTGAGTGAGCTTCTTAATCCTGAGTTCTAATTCGATTGCACTGTGGTCTGAGAGACCATTATAATTTCTGTTCTTTTGCATTTGCTGAGCACTGTTTTACTTCCAATTATGCGGTCGATCTTAGCATAAGGCAATGTGGTGCCGAGAAGAATGTATATATATTCTGTTGGTTTGGGGTGGAGAGTTCTGATTGTCCATTAGTTCTACTCGGTCCAGAGCTGAGTTCAAGTCCTGAATATCCTTGTTAATTTTGTCTCACTGATCTAATATTGACAGTGGGGTTTTAAAAGTCTCCTATTATTGTTATGTGAGAGTCTCAGTCTCTTTGTAGGTCTCTAAGAACTTGTTTCATGAATCTCCTGTATTGGCTGCATGTATATTTAGGATAGTTAGCTCTTGTTGCATTGATCCCTTTACCATTATGTAACGCCCTTTGTCTTTATCTTTGTTGGTTTAAAGTCTGTTTATCAGAATTTGCAACCCCTGCTTTTTTTTTTTTTTTTTTTTTTTTTTTTTTGCTTTCCATATCCTTTGCAAGTAATCGAGTGGTTGATAGAGTGAGTCAGGCTCCAAGTGGTACTGTTGGGGCGTTGTGGGGGACACACAGACACAGACGCCAGGATGGCTGGGCCACCACCACACCAGGGTGCGTCGTGGTTCCCACCCCACAGAAACTGTGAGGTCAGTGTGTGTTGGACAACACTGCCCAGCCCAAAGTGACTTGTCATACACAACTAATGCAAGTCCAGGCAGCAGAAGGTGAGTCAAAATAGAACAGAGCCTCACAGGCACAGCTTTTTGGCAATGACTGACGCATCTCATTTTACTGCCCTTTACTATGCATTTTACAAGTAAAAGGCATGTGGCCGCCCCACCAGGGCAGGAGTTACAGGCGTGAGGCCGCCCCACCAGGGCACGAGTTACAGGCAGGCGGCTGTGCCACCAGGGCACAAGTTACAGGCAGGCGGCCGCCCCGCTAGAATGAGCCTGTTGGTAGCGCCCCCAGCAGCACGCCTACTTCACATCTCTCTGTGGTGGTTCTTGCAATATGTCAAACTGTTACTGTGTCTGTCATGGTGACCTGTGATATCACTGTTGTCATTATCTCAGGGCGCTCATATGAAACTGTGAACTTGATAAATATGATGTTCTGATGGCTCCGCTGGTCGGCTATCCCCTCCCGACACCCCATCCTCAGGCCTCCTTATTCCCTGAGGCACACATTATAGCGTACATCATTCCACAGAGGTTTTGTATTTACATCTTCTGCCCCTTGTCTGGGAATACCACTGATCAGGGCCAATTCAATTACATTTTCCACTTTATAAGTTTCAGGGATCATACAGGTAGTATTAATGAAGGCTACCTCAGGGTAGACTGAGATAGGAGTCTTGCTACTGTGTTTCCTTTGCAAACTCCACAGCAGAGAGACAAGGGATGAAGGATAGATGGCAGCAGTGTGTGTGGAAACATTTTCACACGGCCAGGCTCATATCCTCCTGCTGGGCCCAAGGACAGAGGACTGTGACAGGAAGGCAGGGTGCCTCCTGCATCCTGCCAGAGGCTTGTGTCCACCACTGTGCTGGGCTCTGGCTTCAGGGACTTGTTCAGGAGGTGCTGGGGTACAAGGCACATCTGAAGGGTGTTTCTGGACACCTGCTGTGACCTCATACAGGAGAGCAGGTGACCTGGCCAAGGCTGGCACACAGCACAAGATGGAACATCCAGGGACCTGGCATCATGGCCCTCCACTGCAGGGGTGGGGATGACAGGCCAGCAGCTGATGGTCCTGGGATGCAGTTTCTGTCTGAGGGGCCTCCTCCCAGCTCCCTGGCGGTTCTGCCCTGGATAAACAGCAGAGGCATTGCCTATTAAGTCTCATTCTACTCCGATGGCCCCCAGGGAATCAGCCACCTTCTCCAGAGAGGCAAGGCCAGGAGGCAGGGGACCTACCCTGGGGCAACTAACAGGGCCTGCAGTACAAGCAGTGCCAGCTGCTGCCCTCTCTGGTCCTTGTCTCCTTCCAGCCTCTCCACTATTAGAAGAGTTCATAGTAGACCTCTTGACAGGTGGACACAGGCCACCCCCAAACCCTGGCCCCTGGAGGAGGCTCCACAGTGGCCTCCCATAGCCAGGAGAGGCCAGACTGAACAGAGTCTGCTGCTTCCAACAGGACCTCACAGGGGGAGCCTTTGAGGACAACCTGAGGTCGCTGCACTTGCAGGAGGGCCAGGACTTCCTTCATTTCAGCTGACAGACCCACGGCAGCTACTCCCAGGTAGGTCTTTTCACCAAAGCACCATTTGGGTTCGTTGAGTCTCTATTATGCTTCCTTTTCACATGTTCTGCTCTTACAGTTATTCTGTTTTCTTTACAGCTAGTGTAGCTGCTTGTATGTTCAGCTCATTAATTTCCAGCCTTTCTTCTCTAATGTATAATTCAAGACTTCAGAATTGCTTAAGCACCACTTTAGGTGAATTCTACCTGTTGTGATTATTTTATTAGCTTTCATTATATATTTTAGAGTTTTATTTCTTTTAAAGATTTTTAAAAACATCTTTTAAAAATTTGTGTGTATATACACACACTTGGGTTCTATAACTGTCCATTAGGTCAAGCTTTCCTTCAGCCGTGCCTTATTGCACTTTATTGAAATGTATCAATTCAATAAAATACACTATAGTAGTAGATGATCAATTTCTTGAATGTTTGCTTTATTGAGACTGTGTTACAAGCGTAGGAAAGTTCTGTCTTCCTGTTGAACTGAACCTTTAATCATTATATGGTAATCTATTCCTAATAACACTATCTGCCTTCCTTTAACTGTAAAACTTTGTCATTGACATAGAGGTTTTAATCCATTTACATTTATTGTGTCCTAAAATCTTTCTAGTGTGTGGTTTTTTTAAAGCTTGTTCTGGCCTGGTGCGGTGGCTCACACCTGTAATCCCAGCACTTTGGGAGGCTGAGGCAGGAGAATTGCTTGAACCTGGGAGGCGGAGGTTGAAGTGAGCTGAGGTCATGCCACTGCACTCCAGCCTGGCACCTGGTGACAGAGACTGTCTCCAAAAAAAAAAAAAAAAAGCTTGTTCTGCCTTTTCCTCTTGCAATTCTTGCATATTTTGATAGTGTATTATTTTTTATTCTTGTTCCATTTCTCCCCTATTAGTGTAGAAGTTTTCTTCCCCATATATTAACTCTTTCTGTGCAACTCTGAATACTCAACATGCACACTTAGCTGATAACTGAGTTATCTGCACTTTGTTTCAGGAGAACGTAAGAACTTAAGATGCTCTAAATTCAGCCACCAACTGCTGCTGATTTATATGCTATTGTCCATTTAAAGCAATTCTATGTGCTTTTAAAAAGTCCACAAATAAGCCATCTTTCTATGTTTTTATGGTCACATTTTATTGCTTTCCTTGGTCAACATTCCTCCAACTATCCAACTGTGATAATTTTCCTTCCTGCCTAAAGTTTATCCACCAGAGCAGTGGTTCTTGGCCAGGGGTGAATTCACCCCCCAGAAGGTAACTGGCAATATTTGGAGACATTATTTTTTCTTTCTGTCACAGCTGGGTAGGGGGATGGCTACTGCCATCCAGGATGTTGCTGAACACCCTGCAATACACAGGACAGCTCTCACAACAAATGACTCAACCCCAGATATTAAGCCAAGATTAAGAAACCAAACATGCATTAGAACAGCATATGTTTATCTGAATGACTTAGATTTGTTCTCTTCTTTAATATTATGCTGTGGGCACAATTCAAGCAAGTTACCAGCTACTTTCTCTCAGCATAATGAAGATTTTGGTCTACTTGTTCCTCAACTCCAGTGCTGCTGCTGGGAAACTGGTAGTTGTTTATATCACTCTGTCCCACTTACAGTTCTGCAGTTTCACTGTTATAAGTCTAAATGTTTGAGACTGTTAGGCTTCTGTATCTGGGGACTGTTGCATGTCAGTATGGAGTATTTGCATCATTTCATTTCATTCTGAGACCCCAATTACACAAAGGTCAGACATTCTTCAGTGTCTCTTGATGTTGCTTTCATATTTTCCAGTTCTCTGAATAATTTTTTCAGATCTTCCAGTTTTCTAATTCTCTCTTCAACTGTGTCTAAAAGCTATCCATTGAGCTTTTAGTTTCACTTCTTACATCTCTAGGGGCTTTTTTTCCCCAACCTCTTCTTAATAACTTATAGCCCTTTTCAAAAGTGTATTCATATTACAGCCTATAATCTTCCAGAGAGGTTTGTATTTGCATCTTCTGCCCCTTGTCTGGGAATACCACTGATCAGGGCCAGTTCAATCTAATTTTCCACTTTAGGAGTTTTGGAGATTACACAAGTAGTACTAATGAAGGCCACTTCAGCGGAGACTGAGATAGGAGTCTTGTTGCTGTTTCTTTGAAAAAGATTTATGTAGGGTCCCAGCTTTACATAGGGTCTCCTATTAGAGCTGACCCTGGGCCTTAAATTCTCTTTTCCGTCCTGCTATCATCAAAACATCATGACTAGACTTCAGGGCTCAGCAGAAACCCTCAGGATCTCCAAGGTCTCTGGTCTCACATGGAGGGTTTCTGGTTTGTGCCTAGAACATGTTTTCAGGTGCACACATCCCATACCAGCTCCCCGGTTCCAGATATACTGCCTTCTTCCTGCTCTCTAAACTCACAAAGCTTAGCTCCACTTCTGGGACCATGAGCATTCTCTTTTCTGCTGTTGGGCATGTTTGTTTGGACTTCTGCCCAAATGCTGCCCCTTCAGAGAGGTTTTCTGAACAGCTCTTCTAGGAGTCAACACTCAGCACACCATTCCATTGCCTGCTTTATCTTTTCATAGCACTCAGTGTTGCCTGCCTGATGGTGCTGGTTTGTTCATTTGCTGTTGTCTGCCCCAGCTATCATGTGAGCAAGAGGTTCCTTGCCAAATTCTAGCACTTGGACCCAGGTGGGCTCCAAAAACAGCTGCTGAATGAAGGAGGGCTTGCCAGGCCCCCAGGTGTCTGATGAACAGAGGGCTCCAGAGGCAGAGATGGATGGGATCCAGCGGGACAGAGGCAGTGGCCATGAAAGAACTGCTTTCCCAAAGAATTGATTCCCAGGGAATCAACCTACCTCCATGCCTTAAAATGCCATTTCTCCTAATCTTCTTTTGATTGCACTAAGAACAGTTCATGTGTTTTTCTCAGAAGCCACTTGTTCCCTCCATCCTCAGTGCATCCCAGGCTAGCGGTAGCTTCGTGAGCTGCAGGCACGGCGATGGTGCACCTATTCTGCACTTGGCAGGTGCAACCGCAGAGTCTCGTGTGTGCTGACCACAGGAGCCAAGCCTTTTCCACTGGGTGGACTCGTGGCCAAGGCTGGGCCTGGTCACCTAGGATGCTCAGCCAATTAAGGGGACAGAAAACAACTCCCCACTCTGTTTGAGAAGGAGGACTGTTTTAAGAATTAAATAAAATAAAATGTTGGGATAAAGATTATTAGCCAGCAGGTCGAACACCAGCGCAGTAGTATGCTAACTAAAACTCACACTCCTGTGTGGCCAAGTCACCACATACATCCTACACGGACGGTCACAGTCCTGGCCTTATGGTCATGATGGCCTCACGGATGTGGGCAGCATCTCCCAGTTCTGGACCTGTCCCCACTCCTGTGCCTAGGCCCCATCCCCCATGTGAGACAGGCCAGGGAGCTAACCCAGTCTACACCATGCACCCAGCACCCCTGTGCTCTTCACCCAAGCCCAGCCCTTGGGCCTCTGAGTGACCACACCTGGGGCTTCCTCAGTGCTGCTGGGGGTGGTTCTGCACCTCAAGCCCAGTGCAGGCCCCAGGTAGATGGCCGTGGGTAGCTACCACTGTGAAATCTGTACATTATGTTCCCCTCACCATCTTTGGGATGGACCAGCACAAGCTCAGACACAGAGACGAAGGCCACCTCTGCACTGGCTCTAGTAAGACAGTGCCATATTTTTGAGAATGGTATTTCCCACATTATTGTAGAGGTGCACACACTGGATTCTGATGATTCCCTGCCAGCAGACATTTGTGAAGTGACTGATGTACACACTGTCTATGAGTGACACCTGCACCGTGTGCCCCATGCCCATGTGTGTGCAGATGGGAGGACTGCACCCCTACCGGGGCTTGTCAGGCTTCTGGCATTTGGACCCGACTTATCAACCTTAATCTCGCTCAGTGTAAAAAACTGTACCTCCACAGCAGAAACTGGGTGGAGCACCGCCTATGGCCAGCAGACCCCGCAGCGGGGGCCATACAGGCAAGAAGGGGGCCTAGTCTCCAGGCAGGAGTAGTAGAGCCTACCTCTCATCTGGCTGATGCCCAGGCAGTGAGCCTCTGCATCACCCTACATGCATCAGGCTCAGAGATAAAGGCAGGAACTTCTTGGTACATGATTTTATAGGAAGAACATTTGTGTTCAAGGCAGGAACAGTGACACCCCACGTCACTAGAGTGCAGGCGCAGAAAAGGAAAAGCCATCTCCTGGTGACAGCCTCCAAGGGCCAGCGCTACCCTTCCACAGCTGCAGATTGAGGCACCACTGGGCCAGGCTCCCCGCACCAGGATCCCCCAGGAATGAGACATCCCCACCAGGCAGGGTGAGTGCGGGCTCCAGGACTGGCTTCAGCAGGCACCAGGCTGCAGAAGAGACAAGATGGGGTCAAGCCAGTCAGTTCCATCACCCACCACTCCCAGCCAGGGGACCCTTGCCCCTCTGGACCCCACGCGGGGACTGATGCTGACACTGGGTTCCTGCCAGAAACTGCGTCTGTGCCATTCCCCGCACACCTGGGAGTCCCAGCTGTGTGGCTGGCAGGTGCTCTGGACTAACACGCTGCAGGAGGGCACCCCATCTGGGATGCAGTCTCTGAGGAGCGAGCAGAAGGGAGGTTTGCTGCACTGCTCCTAACTTGCATTCACACGTTTGACATCTGTTCTAATACAAATGTAAAAAGCACATTTAATTCCAAAGTCTGCTGCTGAGTTTGGCCTTTACACACAGAAACAGGGGAGGCTGTGTCCGATGCTCATCCCGTCCCCAAGGCCCCTGCATATCTGGACATGATTCTTCTCCTCCCTCTCAGACATGGCCTCCTGCTGTATCAAAGGAGGCTGAGAGGAAGGAGGAGCCAGCCCTGGAACTAGAGAGACAGAAGGCAACCCCAGGCCCCAGCACCCATGAGAACTGCACTCATTTCTGTTACTTTGTTAGAAGAGTGGCGGGCTGGCGAGGAGCACGGGGGCTCCTGAGGGTCTCTGCACCCAGCCCTGGCCCGAAGCACGGGAGGCAGGTGAGGGGGAACTCCTGGCACTTGGAGCACAAACAGACCCCAGTGCCAGTCATAAGGGGCCTGGATCAAGCTGATGCCAGTCCCATCGAGTCCCTGGCCCACCAAACACACCCCAAGCAAGTGGCCTGGGTGCCATGAGGCCCAAGGCGTGGGCAGTGGCCAGAGAAGGCAGCTCCACCAGCCCCATACTCCCAGGGGTCCTAACATGAGAAGAGGGGAGGGGCCGCTGTCGGAAACTGAGCACAGCCGCTGGCCCCAGAACGTTCCGGAGCTCAGGGAAGCACAGTCACCTCATGCTGTGGAGGTGAAGGGTTACCTTGGGCACCAGCTGGGGCCTGGGCACGCCCAGGAGGTCACACAGGCGGTTGCGTGGCTCTCTCACAACTGCGAGCTCTTCATGCCTGTGAGGAGAGGAAGCCTGTGAGAACAGGGAGCTGAGGGGAGGAAGGGCCGCCTTGCCCAGCCCTGCTGGAGAAGGCCTTGCCCAGCTCGGGATACCTGACTTTACACGCCTGGCTTGTGTGAGGCCAGTGCCCACCTTAGACCCTCAGGTGTGCAGAGCCGCGCATCAGCTTATGTAGGGGAAAGCAGGGAAAGGACACCCACCCCAGAATCTGCAACCAAACCAGCCCTCAGGCACGAGGAGCAGTGGTCAGGTGAGCACATTCTCCAGCCAGCCTTGGGCCTGACCCCTTTCACAAGGAAGGGCCGCCCTCCCAGCCCCGTGGAGAAGGCTCACCCAGCTCCAGATACCTGGCTGCAGAGCGTTCACCTCTTCGCTGTCCCAAAGCCAATTATTTTAGAATCTGATCCAGCCTTGTTTTTTAAAAACCTGTTTCCTGCGCAGTAGTTAAGACAGCCGACCTCTCAATGGGGGTTGAGAAGGCAGCCTAGCTGCTCCCAGCTCTTCTCCTGGGACCGTATGTTTCTGTTGAGGAGCAGAGACACTCACTCCTCCCCAAACCAGAGAACCTCGCAGAAGCCCTGAAGCCAAGAGGTACCTTCTGTCCTCCGAGACCACAGCAGCTGCACAGTAAGTGAGCTCCACGGGAACCCAGCCCTGTCAGAAGGACCCTGATCCAAGGAGACACCTAGGGAGCGTCACCTACATCCTCGCTGGCTTAGACGGGGCACAGACCCCACAGACGTGCACCAACGCCTGGTGTCAGCATGGAGGCTCTCAGTTGGTGCTCCACACAGAGTAGCATCCACAGGCAGGACACCTGGGACTCCACCAGGCTGGCTGCACCAAGTGAACACCCACATAGCCTCTGGGTGCTTCAGTCCTGACCTCCAACTCATGGTGACGAGAAGTGTGCGAGTCAGCATGTGTGTCAGCGTGTGTGCGTGTGACCATGTTTGTGAGCAAGTGAGCGTGAACCAGCATGTGAGATGCGTGTGCAAGTGAGCATGTTTATGAGCCAGTGTGAGTGTGTGAGCATTCCAGCCAGCGTGTGAGTCTGTGAGCCAGTGTGAGCATGAGTGTGGGTGGGAGCTCGGCTGCCCATGTGTGTATGACACAATCATTGCAGTTCCCAGGACCACACTGGTTGGCCCAGAGCACCCCCTGAGCCTGCACTTTCCCTGCTCCACTTTCTCATTCAGACCCTCCCACCCCCGACTCAACACATGCATCTTTCAAACCTGCCACTCTAATCCACCCGCAGTAAAGAAACCAGCCCCTGCTGCAGAAACTGCGCCTGTCCAAGTAAACATGGAGAGTGGCACTGTGGCCTCCTGAGGGCCTCGTGGCCCTGGGAAGGAGGTGGATATTAGAGCAGAGAGGCATGGGGAGAGGTTCTCCTCCTTCTGCCCATGCCTCTGAATTTCCACCAGGTGCTCATGCAGCCTATTCCAACACAGCTGGAGAGGGGCCTCCCTGGGGGGTGTCCGGTGCACAGGCCACCAGACAGCCTTGGAGGGGGAAAGGGGACTTATGCCCCTGGCGGGATGGATGCTCTGCTGCTTCTGACACTGGACAGTGTTGAGGGACAGGGCGGTTAAGAGGCTTCAGCTTCAGCACCACTGCTGCCTCATAAAACTCAAGCGGAGGCTGTTGAGGCTTCGGAATCCTCCTTCCTCTTCCTTTCAGAGGGTTTGAGAGAGACAGGTGGACATGGAGGGGACAGGAAGGGGGCGGTGCCAGGCCCAGGTGGCCGTGCAGGAAGGGGCTTCACTCACCATGCGGTGTTGCTGAGCACTGCCACCACCTCCTCCAACACGTCTGCAGACACGACATCACTGTAGGTGAGCACCATCTCATACACCTGGCTGGCCGTGGTCTTCCGGATCTGGGACAGTGATGCAGTGTGTTTGCAGGAGGAAACACCATTGCCCCACCCCACAGAGACGACAGGAGCCAGGCCAGGGAGCCCTGTCAGTGGAAGGTGTCAGGAAGAGGGCACTGACCCCGCATCCCTTCCCAGCCACAGCAGAGCTGCAACCAAGAGGAGGCGCTTTCCATGCCATGAACCACCTCCTCCCTCCGCAGACACACAGTGAGACTCCAGCAGTGCAGGTCACGTCCTTCTTGTTTAAATGATCCATTCACAAACCTGCTCCCTTACGGAGAAGCAATCTCACCTGTCGTCATGTCTCAGTGAGCTGGTGGTCAGAGCCCCTGGCCCACCCTTGGAGGTCCTGAGTCAGCAGGACAGGGCCCAGGAACCGGCACTGCTGAAGCCCCAGAGGTGCTGAGGGTCCAGCCACCCCACTTCTAGAACCACCATATAATGTGAAATTACTTTCGCGTTTTTGGAAAATGTCACCTTTGGATCAACAGGTTTTTTTACAGCCTGAAGAAAAGAAACCCTAGAAATGTTAACAGCAAGGGAGAGCTGGGGGTGAAGGGTGCTGCCCCCAGGTGTGGCTGAACCACTTCAGCCTGGGTCCTCTGGGAGCTCCTGAGCCAGATCCCATTGCCCATGGAAATGCCAGCCAGACATGTCGTCCTTTAAGCCAGAAGAGTGACGTCGGGAGCCCCTTGACAGCTGTGTGCCTGTGACACGTCACCCTGGGCATGCTAACAAGGGGCCTGGCACAAAGGCACACTCACGGGGCAGTGCCTTCCAAGCCCTTTTAGTCACCAGGGGCCCGAGTCCACACGGCAAGCACATGTGAACAGGGCAGGCACTCACCGATGGGAAGCGGTGGCCGAGGAGCAGACACAGCTGCAGGAGGGCGCTCTTCCTCACGCTGCCAGGAAACTGCACCATCCCGCAGAATCTGCCCAGAGCCGCACACAGGCACCGCGTGAGCCCCGTCCCACACAGCCCAACCCCGGGAAACCCAGGACCCAAGGCCCAGGTGAAGGCCCAGGGGGAGCAGATCTGTGAGTACAATGCAGGCCTGGAGCCAGCCCCGAGCCACAGGTGTGTATGTGAGTTCATGTCACACATGCGGGAAAGCCAACAGTGGGAAGTGAGGATGCCTCAGAGAAGCTCCTGCAGGGCTCCCGCCCTGCCATGAGAACCCCCACCTCAGGGGGGCCACAGAGCAGCCAAGGTGTCTGTGGCTGCCCAGGGCCCACCTGAGCACTGCAGAGCAAGGCGCTCAACAGCAGCCCCCGGGGCACATGGGAGAACTGGGTAACCACTGACAATGCCCGTTTCCAGGTCTCTGCTCCCCCCAGGGCAGAGCACGAAGCGGGGCGGAGTGGGGGGGGCCGGCTTGCCTGTTCCCTGGGGACTCCCTCCACCAGCACCTGGGATGCCTTGCCTCCCGCTTCGTCCCACTGGACACTGGAACGCACAACCTAAGCTTGAGGGTGAACACTAACTGCTCCTCTCCCACCTGGAGCCACTGACTCCTGCCTCACCTGAGGCAGGCTGCCCCCTGCAGTTCACTCTAGGGCCAGCAGCACTTGAAACTCACACTGAGATGCCTGATAGCAGTTTATGGACGTCTTTTGAATTCTTGATTTCTTTCTTACAAAGTGCAAGCAACTTCACAGCGAAGGGGTGGCTGGAAGAAGAACACTTTCTTTAGAGATGAGCGTTCACAGGCAGCCCCTCGACGTACACTTTTTCTATAAGGAAGGTCAAGTCCGTCCTCCCGGTAGCTCAGTCCCAGAAGCCTGCAGCCCCTCTGCCAGCAAGTCCACTGGTCCCATCCCGGTGCTCCACAGGCCGGTGGGGTCCCCAGCTGCCGTGCCACCACCTAGCGGGCCTCTGCTTCACTGCGGTACAGCAGCCCCCATGGGGCCCCACCTCCCTCCCAGGGCCCCAGGCTCCATGCCGACACAGCCGCAGCCGGGATGCCTGTGCTCCTCCACCGCTCTCTCCAGAGGCGGCCTGGCCTGAACTGCTGCAGAACTGGGAGAATTTGCTGACTCACAGAAGACACACAGGCTGTACAGTGTTGTTCTGAGCCTTCACTGGCCACAGGGACAAGAGCTGAAGCTGGGTGCCAACAAAACCACGGCCCTGAGGAGCAGCTCTGAGAGGGCCACTCCAGGGAGAAGAGGGACGACACCCACCTGCCTCTCTTGGTGGGGAACACAGCCAAGCTCCAGGAGCCCGACAGGCTGGAAAACCCTCACTGCTGACCATAAGTCAAAGAGACCCCAGGCTGCTGCTACCCTCCCTTGGGTGTCCAGTAAAGGCAGACTAAACTAAGGTCCTGCCTGCTAAGGTGCAGGCTTGGCCCACGCCTCAGCTTGCTCTGAGGTGGGACCCCTAAAACACAATGTCGAGAGACTATGCAACAGCAGACAGGCAGCTCAGACACGCCCAGCGAAACAGACAGGAAGAGGGAGTTGAAGGGAGTGAGCACCGAGCACGGGAGGATGGGCCACAGGGAACAGCAAGGCGGAAAGCCAAGGCACACATGGAAACACTGAGGCCAAAACCTGCACCTGAAAAGACGCAAACTCCAAACAAGAACTCCACAAGTCAGAAGTCCTTCAGAGACAGAGAATCAGCAGCTGACAGACGGGCCAAGGTAATGATGCAAAGAGAGGAAAACGTGAAATGCAGAGAGGGTGGCCGAGGGAAACACATGAGTGTGATAACAGAAGAACCAGGGAAGCAGCAAACCTGGCAGGGGCTGGGAAAGCCCAGGCCGTCTGGGGAGCACAGGCACTCAGGTGACACCCACTAGCAACAAAGTCAGGAGAAGAGGGAAATACTTGCAATGTGCTGAAACAAAACAGCTGCCTGAATTCTGTGTATCCTCTGAAAATAATCTGCACATAAAATTAGAAAGCTTCACCACCAGCAGACCTCACTGGAGGAAATCCAAGGGAGTGTGCTCTAGGAAGAGGGAGTGTGAGCCCCGACTACGAGTGGGGGGGAGGGTCCCAAAATCAGTAAGCGATGAGAAGCAAAGCAGTAAAAATGTGGATAATTCAAAATAACGCACATTACACAATACCACAGTGAACAGGAAACTACATCGAAGACAAGATATCCGACAACAGCAGCACAAAACTCAAAATGGAAGCGAGCGGAACCAGCGCCTTCCGATATCCGTGCCGTTGTCCGATACGGACAAATACTGAAGACGACTTCACGAAGTCAAGAATGTGTGGTGTCACTTCTCACTTCTAGGGTAAGCATTATAGAATGGAAAAAACGTAAAATGTCCCAAACAATATGTGAAAATAATGGGATGAAAAAAGGATTCTAGTATTCCAACAGAAAGCTCAGGGGGCAGGGAGGGCACTGGAAAACCTGTGAGTGGCGGACTGGGACCTGAGGGGGCCGTAGGTCATCAGGGATGCAGGCAGAAGCTATAGCCTGCATTTTCGCAAAACCATACACTGTTCCAGAAAAGATGCACAAAACCATAAATACATAAAGATACTGAAAGTAAAAAAGTAGAATTCAAAGTCGAGTGATTCAGACAGCACCCTAGAAATGAGGTGGGTCACAGGGCAAGATTCAGCCCCAAAAACACGCTTCAAAATCTGCACAGCAAAAACTGGCAAAACTGTTGCAATAAGTAAAAAGAGCTGTATTCACAGCAGGACCTGGCAGGCGGTGTTTCTTTTTGAAACAGGATCTGTTTCTGTTGCACAGGCTGGAGTAGAGTGTGGCTCAATCTCGGCTCACTGCAACCTCTGCCTCCCAGGCTCAAGCCATCCTCCCACCTCAACCTCCCAAGTAGCTGGGACTACAGGCACCACCATACCCAGCCAATGTTTTTGTATTTTTTGTACAGCACCATTGCACTCCAGCCTGGGCAACAAGACGGAAACTCCTCAAAAAAAAAAAAAAAACATAAATGGAACATTTAGCATTATTTGAAAGGATAATACACTACAACCAAGCTGGGTGCACCCATGAACGTGAAGGTTGTTCCAATAGCAGGTATAAGATCAGTGATGCCCACTAACAAAAGCAGATTAAAAAAACATGTGCAGTATCCAGCAAAGAGGAAGCCACAGAGCCCAGCTCCACCTCCCACCCGACGGTTAAGGCGAGCCAAGTCCAGCAGGCGGCAGGCTCCAGCCCACAATGAGAAGTGGGGCCTCCCAAGTCCCACATCTGCAGAGCTCACTCAGGTTCTCAGCACCAGAGGGGGCTTCCTGGGGGCCCTTGAGGACTAACTTGGGCCTCAGTCAGTCAGTGCATGAGTACAAGGATGCTGCCCAGGGCTGGGGAGGAACCACCCAAAAGATGACTGGAATCCCTGGCACTGCCCCAGCAGCAGTGGGAAGGGAGCGGCAGGGAGCAGAGACCTTAAAGGGGCAGGAAAACCAGGGTCTGGGTCCACCTGACAGGTTAAGAGCAGCTCCTAAACTGGATGCGGTGGCTCACTCACGCCTGTAATCCCAGCTCTTTGGGAGGCCAAGGTGGGTGGATCACTTGAGGTCAGGAGTTCGAGACCAGCCTGACCAATATGGTCTATTGGATACTAGACCTATCTCTACTAAAAACACAAAAAATTAGCTGGGCTTGGTGGCAGGCACCTGTAGTCCTAGCTGATACAGGAGGCTGAGGCAGGAAAATTGCTTGAACCTGGGAGGCAGAGGTTGCAGTGAGCTGAGATTGAGCCACTGCACTCCAGCCTGGGCAATAAAGCAAGACTCCATCTCAAAAAAAGAAAAAAAAAAAAGCAGCATCCCAAAAAAAAGACCATACTGTCCCCAGGTGACCCAACACATCCCAGATACAAAAATATCCAGGCCAGGCGCAGTGGCTCACACCTGTAATCACAGCATTTTAGGAGATCAAGGAGGGCAGATCACTTGAGGCCAAAGTTCAAGATCAACCTGAGCAACATAGTGAAACCCCATCTCTACTAAAAATACAAACATTAATCAGGCATGTTGGGGGCACGCCTATCGTCCTAGATACTTGGGAGGCTGAGATGGGAGGATCACATGAGCCCAGCAGGTGGAGGCTACACAGTGAGCTGCGATTGTGCCACTGCACTACAGCCTAGTGACAGAGCTAGACCCTGTCTCAAAAAAATAATAATACTGGCCCAACAAGGTAAAATTCAGTGAAGCAAGAAAACATGGCAACAATGAAATGAACGCAGGGACATCCGCACAGCACAGGAGCAAGGAGCTCCATCTCCTGGGGGAGTCCGCACTGGTCACCAGCCTCCACCCTCTCCTTTGTGAACAGGCATCAGCCTCCATCCTCTCCTCTACAACCAGTCTCATCCCCATACAGCCTAGGCCACTTCAGGTTCCCACAGGTGCCAGCACCACCCTGATGCCCACCCCTGGCCCAGTGGGATACCTGGGCGTGAGTACACAGCAGGGCCCCCGCCTCGGCCCCAGATGGGGCTGACTGCATTCACAGTCATAATATGTCATTAGGTTACTATGTTCTTACTCTGTTACTTTGAGGGTCAGTTATGATGGCATTTATAGTCATCGTAACTGACCCTGAATGCACTGGAAAATCGTCTCCTGGAATTCTCATCTCTGTGTCTGATTATTTTTTCTTTAAAAAGTGAGCTACTTAGGCTTAACCAAAAGGAAGTCATGAAAAGCAATGCCTCACTCCTCCTCCGTGATGAAGATGTCGAAGCAGCCGTGAGTGAGCAGGTGGTCCAGCATCTTCAGCAGCGGTATGGACACCCTGAGGAGAGAAGGAACAGTGAGACCCCGGACACCAGCACCAATGAAGACACCCATCTCCCTGACTTGCTGAGTCAGCACATCCCAGGGGAAATCCTGGCACCACTGCGGAAACTGACAATCCCCTCTATAATTTACATGGAAACACAAAGCTTCCAGGAAGACAAAACAACTGTGGGAGGAATGAGCAAGACTGGAGGCTGACACTGAAGCTGGAAGACGACGGTGAGGCTGAAGGGATCGAGGCAGCACAGCCCTGGGGCACAGTAAAGCAAACACAGTGGGCACAGCAGAGTCCAAAATAAACCCAGTTTCTTACAAAGCTGCAACAGCAATGCAGTAGAGGGGGGAAGCCCTTCCAGTGATCGGGGCAGGCACAGCTGGGCATCAAGATGCCGTGCCCACGCTATACCACTTAGGAAACCTCACTCAAGACCCACCCAGGTCTAAATACACAACCCAAAACTATACAACTTCTAGGACTAAACAGAAAATCTCTGTGACCACGGATCAGGCAAGCTTTCTTAGACATACTAGAAAAATCTATGCCTCAGAGCAAAGGGGAGACTCGGGAACTTGAGAAAATGTGAAGCCCCCACTCGGTGCGTGAAGAGACAGGCAGGGAGAAATACCCTCAAGTCATGTGTGTGATGAGGGAGGATCAGACCGCAATAATCGGGGAAGGGGAACAGACAAAAATAAAGACCCTTCTCCAAGGAGGATATAAAATGGCCACGTGCCGTGGGAGCGTGACCTCAGACAACATCAGTGGGAAGGCACGGCACACAGGCTCCGTAAACCCTCTGCAGCTTCCCAAAGCTACACATTCACCTCTGTGAGCCGGCCTGCAACGCCCAGCGTTCACCCCACGGAAAAGGAGCCTGGGGAGGTCCCCTTGGGATGCCAGGAGCATCTGGAGAGCTTCAGCACAGGCCAGCTGGCACACAGGAGAGCTGCTGTGCACACTGCCTGCCTGCAGCTCCACCAATGACAGCCCCATGGTGGGAAAGGCCAGCATGGCCACACACACACACACACGCACTGTCTGCCACTGACACCGCAGACACGACTCATCAACAGGAGGGATGAGCGACCAGCACACAGCCCAGATGCCCAGAGTGCCCACGTGCAGAGGCTATGGTGACGAAGGTCAGGGGCATGGACTAGAAGGGCCAGGAGGAAACCTGGGGCTGAAGGATGTGCCTACCTCGTGACTAGGGAAGGGTGTGAGGGTGGACATGTGTAAAATCGGTCAGACTGCCCCTTATGTGCAGCTGATTGTAGTCATAATGAGAAAACCTACCACAGCTGGGCTGAGTTCCTGTTTGCTGAGAGTGGCATCTGTGCTTCCTAGTGGAGAGGCTGCCAAGGCCCATGTCCTCATCCTCACACATGACAGGAACAGCCCTTCCAGAGGGTGATGGGGGAACATTCTCAATTCTGAGGTCAAGGACCACAGGGCCTATACTCTGCCTCCACGTAAAAGCAGAAACTTCTAGAAAGGAGCTATTTCTCACTTGACATTCCATCCTCAGGAATGCAGCACTCTCACTCACTGGGTGGCTGATGCCCGCCCGTAAGCATGTCCCCAGGAGCACCAAGCCAGAGAAGCCCCCAGGACGCCTTCCTACACACAGTGACCACTTTCTCCTTTCTGTGACCTTTACTTCCAGTGTACACAAAATGGTCATTTCCCTGCCCAACATGCAGGCCGGGAGAGCAGGTGCAGGGCTGAGGCACATCCCCACTTGCTGAGCCATGCCCCTTGCCACTAACTGGTAAAGCGTGTGTCTCACTTCTCCCTTCAGACCCTGAGGACCTGTGGAAACGTGGTGAGAGGTGCCAGCACCACCCACACCTCCAAGGCCGCATGAGACACCACTCACCTGTCCTTCAGAAGGTTGTCCTCAAAGATCTGGAGAAGGGTCCCGCCGAAGCTGCCCAGGGCCTGCGGGTCGCTCTGAATTCCCCTCATGTACTCCAAGAGGCTCTGGGCGGAGTGCCGAATCTGCAAAACACAGACACTTTATAAGGCAGAGGGACCCCCAAGCCCCCCACCCCTCAGTGCCAGATCTGCAAACACACTTTATAAGGCAGAGGGACCCCCGAGCCACCCACCCCTCAGTGCCGGATCTGCAACAAGAGACACCTCATAAGGCCATGGGACCCCCGAGCCTGCCACCCATCAGGCTTGGTCCCAGCCAGTCAAGATCTGCTGAAGAGCAGAACTGCTCCAAGCTGCAGAGGCACAAAGGTCTGGCACACAGTGGCCAGTGTGGATGCCAGCATGGAGCCACCCACAGTACAGACACCCAATGCAGACACCTGGCTCTCGGCGGCAGCAGCACAGCCTGAGCCCTCACTCAGGACGTGGGGTGGCGCACATCCCCTAAGGCTGCAGCCGCTTGCCTTAGTTTCTCTCATGTCTCCCCTGAAGTGGGATCTGGTCACCCCCCCTACTCCCCTATATGCAGAATGTCTCGGGGCACCACTTGCCCGTGGCTTGGGTCTCCCTGTATGTCCGCATGGCACAGAGGGCACCTGATGTGCTGTTACATGTTTCCTAGGACATAGCAGCTGCCACAGGGTTGCCACTATGAGCAGGTGAAAGGGCCACAAGTGACAAGATGCAGAGGTCCTGGAGTTCCACAACTCAGCCATGGATCCCTGAGGATCCAGAAAACTTCCACATAGACATGGGAGGCGGACCTGGCGCCCTGAAGTGGAGGCTGAACGCAGATCTAGACCCGATGGAGCCCAGGTAACCGCATGTAGGCGTCAGACACAGGTGTTGGAGGGCCGAACCCTGAGGGGATGCTGGGGGATCCAGGGCTGCAGCCACAGGAACAGAGCGGTGCCAGCCCACTTCAGAGTTTGCAGCTGAGCCTGACTCAACGTGCTGCTCCACTGTCATCAGACTCAACCACCCCGCTGGCCCTCCACCTCCTGGGTCACAAGGAAGACACTGGGCCCCTGACCCCCCAGCAAATACATCACAGATAGAAAGAAAGCAATGGCAGACAAGACCCAGCCCCATACACGCTCCCGAAAGAGAAGGAAGCGCCAGGCACCCCTGGAGCTGCCACCTCCCCACCAGCCAGCCGATGCCTCCTCACCGTTGACTCCGTTAAGCCGCCCACAGACACAACCAGCCCCAGCAGGACGTGGTAGCGGTAGGTAGGCAGCCC